TGGATGCTGCATGTCTAGCTCTGTTACTGAACACCTGCATAGGAGTTGGGTCCACTAGTTCTTGTTTGGGGATGGAAAAAGTAAAGCCTACAATTATTTTGAGCAGCAGATCTAATTATTAGGACTCAATTCTTTAGGCGCCACTGGTAATTTAGAGGCACAGCTTCGTTCAAGCACAAAACAAACACCAGTGAGTCTTGCTCTGTAAGCTGCCAGCCTACAAGAACACAACAAGATCATTGGGGAAAAAACAACCCTATCTGGTATTGCATAAATAAAGAATTCCAGGAAAAGCTAATAATTAAAGTGAACCAATCTACTGAAATGGCATCACCCCGGATATTGGCAGTTTGTTTTTCTCAGCCAAGCTAGTTTAAGGAAGTCAGACTTTAATCCCAAAACTACATTGTACCAGAAGCAAACTTAAATCACATTTAGAGCACCAAACAAGAGCTCAGCCTACAGAAATATATTGTATATAAATAAATACACAAATAAAACAAACATGATTCAATATCTCTAAATACTTTGCCAAAACCTGTCACTCAGTGGCTATGTTGGAGGTAATTTCTGCGAACTGCTAACACTTGGAAGCCATCAGTGAACTGAAAGGGAGCACATTTCCCCAACACAAAAACTGGTCCTGTTGCTAAGCCTGTAACTGTAGGCCACAGCTCAGCTCCTTTACGCCCCCCCCCCCCCCGCTACCTTTTGAGCAGTAATGCAACACAGAGGGGGATATTCTTTTGATGGCATGCCTGCAGGGAATATAGCCCCTCTCAAAAACTTGGGGGAATTGGCCAAGACAGGAGAGAAGAAGATGCTTGTGGGCAGCCAGAGTCACACTGGAGCTATATGGCAAGGAAGCAGAACATGAGAGTTTGAATCCCACTAAAGAAAAGCATCAACATTCTCCTTCTCTCCCTAGCATGATTTAAAAAACTAAAACCTCATTTATCTAGAAGCAAATCTCTAAAAACATCCAGATGGAAAGCATTACAGACTTGCTCCTTAAGGCAAAATTCACAACAAATGTTGCATTTAACAACAGAAATTTGGGGTCAATTGTGGAGGTAAGTCGAGGACTACCTATATATACTAAGAGAAACTACAGAGAGAGAGAGAGAGAAATTTGAAATTACGTTTTCATTCTTGTCTGATCAACTAAAGTCTAGCAATAGGACGGGGATCACACCATTGACTTCAATCAATCTTTAACGTTTTCAGAGAGTTGAGAGATGTTTTTCTAGAGAAGACCAAAGGCAGGAAGTGACCAGGGCTAGTTCTGATTCCACGTTTGTGAATCATTCAGATCTTCTTGGAAACCAGTTTCCTGGAAATAACTGAGGTTGCAGATCAACCTGGATGCTTTTCTCCTCATCTCCCAAATCCAGCCTCGTCCTATTTCAGACAAACCTGAGATGGGGGGCGCGGGGGGGGGACACAGAGCCAGAGAGCTCAGCCATGGTCAGGAAAGGAGGGGCAGGGGCTTCCAGGTCCGTCCAGACACGCCCCCCCCCAGAACCCCGGGCGCCTCTCCTCCGGACCAAATCCCAGGATCTGCTTCCAGTGAAGATTCAGGAACCCCCCCGCCCCCTTATTAAATAGGGCTGCAACACCTTCAGCTCCTGCTAAGGACCCCCACCGCTTAGGCAACCTGAGGACCCCCCCGAAGGGTAGACCCATTTCAGCAACTTTGAGCCCCCAAGTCTTAAATGACTGACCCCCTCCCCAAAAGCCTCCTCCTCCGAGCAAGAGCCATGACGGGGGGGGCGACCTCTTCCTCCCACATCGGCTGAGGACGCCCCTCTATCAGCCCCATTCTGGGGATAGGAGGGGTTGGGGGGCTTCTCTCCTTGCCACAGGCTGACCCCGAGGGAGGCAAGAAGCCAGCCGTGGTCGGGCTGAGCACAGGCGGAAGGGCCAAGTAGGGCGACCCCAACACGGACCCCCTCTTGCTGACACGCGTCTACGCACTCACACGACCTCCGCAATAGCCCCCCCTTCCTTCCTGGCCTTCCCCTCGGAGTCGGCTGCCCTCGCTCACCCCCTCGGCCATGCTCGCCGTCCCGGACTCGTCTGCGGGGGGGACAACCGCGGAGGGAAGCTCCGCCGTCCCGCCAGGCCTCGCCTGCTCCGGGCCTTCTCCTCAGCAGGCCGGCTCGCCCGTCTCGATTTCCCGCCCCTTTGACGTCATACGTGCCACCGAGCGGTGCCGGGAAGGTGGAGGACTGAGCGAGAGGCGTGGGAGAGGAAAGGAGGGGCGACCTGGAGCCACTGCGCGTGCGCGTCGCCTACGCTTGACGTCACCACCTTTTTTCTTTTTTTTTTCCTCCCGCTCTCCCTCCCACACGATGCCAAGAGCGTGCGCACGCAGAGGCCGTTCCCTGCGGTGGCTCCGGAGCGCGGTCGCCCAGCCGCGCATGCGCCCTCCGGCCCGCAGGCTGGCCGGGCCATCATTTGTAATGGCTGTTTTTGGGAAAGGGGGTAGTTTCATTTGGATCCGGCTCTGCACCCACCCGAGGCAAACAATGGGGCTGGGGGGGGGGGTGTTCCTCCGGTTATTGTAAAACGAACACGTTCATTAATGTCCATAATGACCTTGCAATTAGAGGAATGAGGAATCCTTTGCAAGGCTGCAAATTTGCGGGCCAAACGGGAAGCCCCAGGAGATCCGGCTTCCCCAGTGGATGCCTCCCGCTTCATGCACTGTCCTGGTTGGTTTAAGTAGGATTTCTTAAATAAACCACCGTGGGCTTCACACTGGGGCGCAACTGCGAAGCTCAACCACAATTCACAGCACTAACCAAGGGGACCCCAAACCAACTGCATGTTGGCTTAGTACAGGGGTGTCCAACCCCCAGAATTCCCAGCCACGAATAAGACAGCGATAAAAAAAGGTTTCCCATGCAAGGTTTGTAATGGCCGTCCTTTTGCACATGATGTGGATCACACCTTCCCAGTTTTCACCCAGCTCTGCAACAGCCAGGAGAAGCTGCTGCAACGCTAAAACGTCCATTATAGAGAAAGCTGCATGGATCTCGTTATAAAGGCAGCTCTTTGAACAGTAATTAAGCCATCATCACTCCCCTTAAAGTGCTGAAGTGATTCTACCAAGGGAAGACACTCTGTTGCACTACGGAAGCAATTCAAAAAAACGAGAAGGCCAAAAGAAAATTTGGGGAATGCTTATTCATCTCTGTGACAGCAACAACAAAACCTGAATGGTTTTCCTTCTTTTTCTCAATAATCTTTTCTCAATTATTTTTCTACAAAATGGTGGAGCAGGTTGCATAATTTTCTGAGATCACATTTGGCAATCTGATACTAGCTCTGGGTAATCTGACAAATCAGTTAAACTTGGTTTTAGTGCTAGATTATGATGCTCTAACTCTTGTTTGGGGGGGGGAGGATTAGGAAGACTGTAAGATTGGCCTCCACAGTTGCTGCCTTTCATTTATCTACTTTCTGTCTGGTGGGTATTATAGAAGAGAAACCAGACTTTACTTTAGCATCCATACCCCTAACCAAATTTTAGCTCATTATTTTATTTGCTTGGTGTCTTGTTTTTTTCACCTTGTTCTTGCTAGATAAGGAAGTTCTATTCAGGCCTAGAACAAGACATTGTATGTTTTCTGAGATCTAAAGGAAGCTACTTTATTACCAGGTAAGGATTACATTTTTGTAATCTACTTAATGATCAGAAGAAAAGTGAGTAATGCTCAGCTTCCCCTTTGTTGCTGTGCTCCACTAGGGGAGCCCCATGTTATTATCATTCCCAGTTTTACCCCCATTCCAGCTCAGGGAAAGATATATTTATACCTATTTAACACCGCCCCAAAGGGCTTGGCTTTTCACCAATCGCAAGGATCCATGTGTACAGAACAAAAACCAGGATGTTGAGAATACATGGTGCCCAAACTAGATACACTTCTCTTTCCTTTGCTCCAGTACAGTTGGCATGTATGTTTACAAAGCAAATATGTTTGAGTGAAGGGTCTGAGATCCATATTTGAAAGGATCTGCTAATAGAAATGTGAGGATCTTTATTTTATGTAGCCGATTCCAGTTTGACCTGGCATAACAATCAAATGCAACAGGCTAGGAAAAACAGGAAATGAGCCATTCCCACAAAGGAGGTAAGAACGGCAGCGCCTTCAATAACCACCTTTAAGGCCAAAGCTTTGAGCTTTAATGAGCGATCTACTTGGAAATAGCCCGTCTTAGTCTCGTTCGCTGGCAAGAGCCGATTTGCCGGAGCGGCTGGGCAACCGGGTCGGTGTCGGGCTCGTCCCAATGAGTTTGACTTGACCAAGCCTGGATCCAGGCACTCGGGTGGGCTAATGCTAGACCACCGACCCCCCCCCTTAACCCGTGGTTTATGTTTCACACGGCAAGAGAATCCAGCCTCGCTTGGTTGGCAATGTGGATTGGCACGTGTGAAGCCAACACCCCCGAAATGCCCCCAGCCGTGGTCTGTGTGTCTCCCGGCCCCGAGACCCCAGCAGATGCGGCCTGTGAAGGGCCCCGCTGGCAGCCCGATCCCCGAGGAGATCGCCTCTCGGGGAGCAGAAGGGGCGCAACTGCGGAAGGGCTGCAGCTTCGGATCCTCCAACTCGGGAGGAGAAGCCCTAGAGATCCGCGGGAGCAAAAAGAGGCCCCAGCTGCAGAACGCTGCCGTGGAGGGCCCTGCGAAGGAAGCATTCCCAAGACCAAGCCCGACCCACGTCCGTCTCCCTCCCGCTCCCGGACCCCTTTGCGGAGAGGAGCGGCCACCGCGTTGTCCCTGGCCCCGCCCCCGCGGTTGCCAATCATCTCCCCTCCCCCGAAGGCGACAGGCCCTCGAGCGCCGCTCCGGCTCCCCGCCCTGCCGCAGCGAGGTCCGCGCCCCCGCCCCGCTATGCAAATCTGGGCATAATCGGCAGCCAATGAGGCGCCCGCCGCGGTCACGTGCACCTGTCGCCCCGCCCCCAGAGGCGGGTCCGGCCGCCGCCGCCGCCGCCGCGGAAAGCGAGCGAGCGAGCGAAGTTGGGAGCCGCTCAGAGACTCCCGGCGGCCGGGGCGGAGGGTCGCCCAGGCGGAGCAGCGGCGGCGGGGCGGGCAGGGGCGGCCAGCAGGAGCGGGCGCGGCGCAGCTGGTGGGGGATCGCGAAGGAGGAGGCGAGGCGGCTGCCTCTCCGCCGCCGGGGCCCTCGCCCGTCGCCGCGGGGCTCGCCCGGACCATGCCGATCCTCCTTTTCCTCATAGACACGTCCGCCTCCATGAACCAGCGGGCGTATCTGGGCACCAGCTACCTGGACGTGGCCAAGGGCGCCGTCGAGCTCTTCATGAAGGTGGGGCCCGCGCCCGCCCGCCCGCCTTTCCCCGGCGGGCCTGACGTGTCCCTCCAAACACGTTCACACGTACACCGGCCCCGCACGCGTGTCGCCTCAGCCCCCGCTCACGCTCTCCCCCCTCCCTCTCTCTCTCTCTCTCTCTCCGCAGCTGCGGGCCCGCGACCCGGCCAGCCGCGGCGACAGGTACATGCTGGTCACCTTCGACGAGGCGCCGTATTGCATCAAGGTAAGCGGGGGGGGGGGAGAAGAGGGGGCAGCCCCCTCCCCATCGCCCTCCCCTCCCTCCGCGGGGGGGCGAGGCGGGCGGCGAGGCGGCCCCGGGGCGCAGCCTGCGAAGATGGCGGCGGACATTTTGCTTTTGTATGGAGGCGGCGGCGGCGAGCGAGCGGCTGAGGGCGCTGCTGAGATGGAGGAGGAGGAGAGCCGGCCGGACGCCCCGCACCACGCGGCGGCCCTCCGCCTCCCCCCTCGCTCCCCTCTCGCCCCCGGGGAGGGGGCTGCCGCTCCGATCGCGGGCCCAGCGGAGCCGTTCACACGACCCCCGTCCCCGGGAGAGGAGCGCGGCGCGGCGACCTCCAGCCGTATGAGCCTGGCCTGGTGGAGGGGGGGGGTCTCTCTGGATGCAGAAGGCAGAGGCTGCTCGTCCCTCGGGCTAGATTCTGTCTAAAAAATGAGAATAATAATACCAGCCACCCCAGGAAGAGGAACATTCAAATTCGTCGGGAAAGCCTTTCCCTGTGGTCTTTGCCTTCTCTGGCTGTCCCCACACGTTTATCTTTATCCCACCTTTATTTTTATAAATAACCCAAGGTTGCAAACACCTCCAGTGCGCTGCTCCCGTTCTCCCCACAACAACCCTGCGAGGTGGGTTGGGCTGAGCGAGGGACTGGTCCAAAGTCAACCAGCCATCTTTTGTGGGTAAGGCAGGAGTAGAACTATTGGCTCAGAGTCACCCAGCTGGCTTTCATACTTAAAGGGGGGGGGGACTAGAACTCACCGTCTCCTGCTTTCTACCCTTGTGCCCTAACCACTAGACCAAACAAATGATCGTGCATTCCTTCCTTCACTTACCTGCATGGAGTCCATGCTGTATTCATACAAAACACAGGTTCTTCATCTGTTCCCCTCAAGCATCTCCGTTGAGCTTCCATACAAGGCATCTCCTCCTCGCTGTGACTTAAGAGTGCAGGGCTTCAGATGGGGAAAGCTTGACTTGCAGATAAAAAGTCCAAAATTTCTCTGACCTTTTTCCCGTAAGGTGGTCTTTCATTGTGTGCTTGGTGAACAGCAACACTTTATCATAAAAGCGCATTTTTAATAAGACTCCCTACAGATGCTTGGAAGCATAATCTGGCTTCTGCGCGACTTGGTTGAGGGTACAGTTTCTTGATACTATCAAGTAATTTTTGCCTTGAATTATATCCTTCCCCTCTCTTCCACCATCCTAAATTCTGAGCTAAATGAGGATGACTTTTAAATTTCATTTTAAATCAATAGTAGATATTAGTCTCCAGACGGGGCCTGTTTTACCCTTACATGGCAATCAAGCACCTATACAATCTGTCTCCCATCATGCTTAAAAGGAGCTCCTGATTAGATACTTTTTCAAAGCTTTCCAATTCCTTTCCACATCCTTCACTTCCAGAGAGTAACTGCATTTCAGGCCTGCGGTGTTCTCCATCTCTTCTGACAGCCAGCTGATTCATTAATAGAGGGAACAAGAAGACCCAGAGTGGTCCTGTGGCTTTCCTTCCCCCTTACATCTGTCATCCCTCAGGTTTGTTTCTGGGAAAGTTCTTCAATTTCTGCTCCTCCCAATTTTCAATTTCCTTGTTGCTGATCCTGCCTTGATCTGCATAAACAAATTGTTATCATACTTCAGTCTTAAGTATTGTGGATTTCTTTCGGTTTCCTTGATTGAAGATCCACTGCAAAGTTTGCTTTCTCTTTCTGAGAAAAGGATTCCCTAGTTAGGAGCTCATTTTTACATTCATTTTGTACAAAGCTTAAAATTGCTAGTGTTGCAATAAGAGTTCTGATAAAAATGGATCTCAACTGCTGCTGTACTGCCCATTGGCCATGTTCTCAAAAGAACCAAAATAAAACAATTGTTGGGTAGCATTTACAAAATCTTAGAGTTCTGGACTTATGCAATTTAGCGAAAATGCAGTCTGAACTGACAATTTATCCTTAATTCTTGGAACAATATGCAGAAGCATGTTCCACTTGCTTTTCTACTGTGAACTGATCGGGGAATGGTCAAAAATTAGTTGAAGTTCAGCTTCCATTTTCGACTGACATCGACTGAGGAGAGACGATTATGTCTTTTGCCTTTTTCCACTTTGCCTTCAGAGAAAACAATTTCCTCTGTATCCTTAAGGCTTGCTTCAAACAACTAGGATTGCCTACTGTTACAATTTCAGTTACAGATATGCATCTGTTTGTTATTTCCTTAACACAAACATGTTGAAAATGTATCCAAGAATAATTGCCCGTTTCAGTAGCTCTCTTTGAAATACACTCTGAGAGTTCTTGATTTCTTAATCGTTTTTAAAAAATGATGTATTTATCTTGTCAGCAAAAAATAAGACGAATTAGTCAAAGGGACTCCTGCCACTCTGGAAACGGTAATATATTTGTAGTTTTCAGAAGTTTTCACTATTGTTTGCATTGTTATTTTTACAGCCATTCTTCATCTTTCAAGAAGGATTGAGAGTCAGAAAAAGTGAGTTGCTCAGGGCTACCTACTGAGCCCATGGCTGAAGTTGAACTGAGGAAACCAAGGGATGCGTTTCTACTTTTCCTGGAAACCCGATACACTTAAAAAGTACAATCAGCTCCCTTAAACACTGAAAAGACCTCAGCCACACTTCTCTTTTTTTGCCCATGTTCTTAAACAGTCCTCTTTAATTTTTTTTTTTTTTGCACCAATTCTTATTAAATTGAGGTTGCTAGTGATCTCCCAGCACACCAAAGATACTGAAATGGCACTTTTGTTCCAGATTGGGCTGCCAATCCTGTAATTAGGATTGAGAATAAATTTCTTGCAAAGCCTGTTAACAAAGTCTCTGGTGCTGTTGGTGGTGGAACTAGAAGGAAAAGACCAAACGTGAACACAATATACAAACAAAGTCATAATTAGCTGCTAAATTAAATATTAGTTGTGATCCTGTGGCCACGTTATTGAAAGAAGTGAACCAGAAGATGTAAAGGCTAGCACCGATGATGTTACCTAGTTGGGTAACAAAACATCTGCAAGAAAACAACCAAACTCAGAGACCACCAAGGGCCCCACAGCTCAACCCTGAGCTATAAATACTCTTAGCAGATGCTTTATTTGTGGTTGGCAATGTAGGTAGCCAATAGGTATGCAATCTGTAGCCATTCTCCTAAGTTTTTAGGCTGCCCTTCAAAGTTGACTCATCTTATATTTTGGTGGGTTGAGACAATAATTTTCAACATGGTGAAAAGGTCTTTAGTTTCTGCTTTTAAGTTTTGCTCTTCGATTTATTTTTTTAATGCATGAATTTTGTCTTTGCATTTCCAATAGAAACGGAGCACCTTGTATTTTGAAGGCTATTTGGATTTTTAGAACTTTTGGGGAATCCTGTGTCATAAACAAGCATTTGGAAAGCAGAAAAGCAACTCTCCCCGTCTTCATATCTACTTTCTTGAATTCATTATCTGCTTGTGCCAAAAATACTGTAATCTGTACCAACATTTGGAACGGCCCAGCAATTGAACTTCAATATTGCAGGGCTGCATTGGTTTCCCTGAGTGGTTTTACATCTCTATAAGAGTTAGATAGAATTTTAAAATGCCTACAGGAAAAAAAATATCAGTATTTCTGAGTAGTCCTTCTGCCTTGCATTGCCTGAATGGCAAAAGTATCCTTTTGTAGCTCTCTCCAGATTGGATAAAAAACTAGTCCATGGTCTTTAACTTCTTCTCTCTCTAGTTGAAGCTCTGTTCTTTTTTTCCCCCTTCCCTTTGGAACATTGTGCTTCTGGTGGACTGCTTCAGAATTTTAAAAGTTGAATGAAACTTTTAAAACGGGGATGAAGCAGGTCCTGCAGAACAAAAATGTCTACAGATGAGCCTTAGCAGTTCATGGCAGAGAAATAGAGGGGGCCATGGAAGAAACCGCACAGTTGGTGAAAGCAGCCGATCCCCAGAAACCCAACTGAAGGCCTTTGCAAAGGTTAACAGTGGAGACATCTGCATTCGGCTGCATGTAATTGTGTCAATGCAAACTTGTGCATGTGGTGCTCTGAATTAGTTTGGTTCTCACCCCCGGATCTTTCTACGTCATCCGTTGCTGCTGCTGCTCTGAAGAGCTGGCTGCTGGCAAGACTTGTTCTGGCTCGTCTCCGGATCTTGTCATCGGAAAGTTCTCTCGACTCTCTGGTCAGGATGACTCTTCCTGTTTCTTTTTCTAAAGCTACAGGCATTTATGCCTCAAAATGGAGTAAGACACTCTTGATGTAAGTGGCAGCTGAAAATGGAATTTAATATCTTTAACCCTTCGTGGCAAATCGGTGTTTTCTTTCTCGAGGAACACAAAGTCTGTCACGTGTGACTTAATTTGGAGAGTTTCATAACTCCTCAAAAATACATGCCTTTCTACTTGTAAAGGTGGTGGCATCAGATATAGTGAGTTGCGAGCCATTGTTAAAACTTGGGAATGAGCTGTCCTCAGATGTGGAATTGCATGTGGACTCCCTAGATGGAATTAGTGATAGTTCAGGAGTAAGTTCACATCACTGAGTTAATTTTGAAAAATGTGTTTGGAGAGGCATTCCTTAACGTCTGCAGAGAGCAATTTAGCCATCTCTGGACACTCAAACCAAAACATGTTAATTTCAGTATCCCTTGCACCTTTATAACACCTGGCTGTGGTAGTTCTAAAAATAAAAGTAGGGCAACTCTAGAATTGGTGTAATAAGATAAAAATAAATTAACTTGATAGAATACATTTTAAACATCTTGTCAAATCTGAAGCAGGGTGTGGGGGGAGCTACTGAAAAGGCTAATATTCTGCAGCTCATCCCCCTCTTAAGACACTGCAGTATTTGTTTGAGAACTGTACATTACTTTTCTATATATTGACTTTCTGAAAGAATTTAATGCACATTTACTTTGGTTGCTGCTTGAGAAGATTAAATCTCACCTAGGACGGTACTAAATGTTGGTTTCCTGAAGAGCAGAAGAATTATCTTTAGGTATTAGGAATACGGTCTTCTGTCTTTGCCTATGTCTTGTTTTTTTAAAAAATAACACTAGCCCTTTTTCTTCTCAACCTCATCGCCACATGGGTTGGGATTCTCTGGGGTTTGCAGCCGGCGGGGACTGTTAAACCTTCCGTCACAAGTGCAGTTTTCCCGATCGCTCTCACTCTAATAAAATAAGTTCTGAGAACAATTTCCTGGGTACCGGGAAACAGAACCAGGGTGAAAGCATCATGGAGGAGCAGCTCTTCTGGCCCGGACGGGTTCTTTGGGATACACTGTCTTGTCTTCTAGCAGTTCTGCAACGTCTAATCTGGGCCGGTCACCACGGACCCCCATCTTCAGACCATGTGTCCGAAAGCTCGGAAGACAAACCAGTGACCGGCCCAGATTGGATCCTGCAGCATTATCCCGAGACACGTATATTCGTTCTAGTAGTTGTTCCCAAATCACTGATTTTGGACAAGGAGGAGGGAAGGAAATTCAGCAAAATGCTTTAGTCCACAAGTGAAGAGAAATGTTATCAGGACTAATTTGTTAAATTCAGGCCTTTAAGGGTGGACATTAAGAGCAGAAACTACACAAATTGTTGTAGCCCACCATTCTCTGACCATTTCTAGCAGGTGGAGGTAATCCTTGGCTTACGAACACAATTCAGCCCCAATATTTCTGTTGCTAAGTGACACAGTTAAGTGAGTTTTGCCTTATAAAATGACCTTATAAAAGGAATCTAGCTTGCCCATTGACTTCGCTTGCCAGAAGATTGCAAAAGGACGTCACAGGACACTGGGATGCTGCGACTGTCATAAAGATGAGTCAGTGGCCAAGTATCCGAAAGTTGATCACGTGACCCTGGGGCTGCCGCAACGGTTCCAAGTCACTTTTTTGAGTGTTATAACTTCAAATGGTTGTAAGTCGAGGATGACTTGTAGAGAAGGCCTGCAGAGGAAGATTGCAGATGATCAAACGGTCCAGTTTAAATATTGTTTAAATTATTTAAAGCGTTTATGATTCAGCCTGTATGTTAAAAATGTGAGCAGAAGATGGAATTTCCTGTACACGATTCGTGGTAGAATCTTTCCAGCTGGCTTAGGCAGGGACTACCTTGGCTTAAATCCTTTGTTCATGTTAATCTGTTTGCAGAGAGCAACACCTCCCTGTACCTCTTCAGCAGGTCTTCCTTCTCTGCCCTCTCTGCCCTTTGGAGGCATGATGTGGAAGGCTTGCATTGTTCCTCGACTCAGCTGCCACGGCCTGTCTGTCTCTCCATTGGGGTGTGGTGTTTTTAATGAAAGGTTGCAAAACTTGGCGTTGCAAGTTTTCAAAGGACGCCGTGTACCAAGAGCCATTGGGTAAAAATTTCCCTGTAGCAATGGTTTTTTTTTTTTTTTTTTTTTTGGGTGCTTGATTGCTGAGTGCCATCTGGTTAGTCTAGGGCAGGAGTGTCCAACCTTGGTCACGTTTAAGACCTGTGGACGTCAACTCCCAGAATTCCCCAGCCAGCCATGCATGGGGAATTCTGGGAGTTAAAGTCACAGTTCTTAAAGTGACCGAGGTTTGACACCCCAGATCTAGAGAGCTTACAGCTGCTCGGTGCATCGAGACCTAATAAAAACTGAATCTTCACAAGGCCCCATAGCTGCCCTCTGGGATAAAGGGGGGGGGGAGAACCTTTTCTGGCAATTTGCCAACTTAATGGTGCCAGCCCCTCTTTGTTTTTCAGTCTGCCATTCTTCAGGCACACCTCTGTGGTTATTTTTCTCTGATGGAAGGAACTCCTGATGTCTCTTCATTTGCAGGGCTCCAGCTTCTAACAGACGTTCTTGTCAGGCTGCAGCAGAGGATTTAGAGGGCTGTTTTTCTATTTAAAAGGGTGAATTATAGTTTGTTAGGAATTGATTCTAACAAAAGACAAATAGCTAGCATTGAATAACAATAACAGAGTTGAAAGGGATCTTGGTGGTCTTTTAGTCCATACCACTCCAGGCAAATGGCTGTCTAGTCTCTTCTTAAAAGCCTCCAGTGATGGAGCACCCACAACTTCTGGAGGCAGGTTGTTCTACTGGTTTATTGTTCAAACTGTCAGGAAACTTCTGCTTATTTTTAGGCTACTTCTCTCCTTGATTAGCTTCCATCCGTTGCTTCTTGTCTTGCCTTCTGGTGCTTTGGAAAATAAGTTGACCCCTCCTCTTTGTGGCAGCCCCTCAAGTAACGTTCCTATCATGTCCCCTCCTGGCCTTTCTTTCACTGAACTAGACAAACCCCAAAACTTGGATCAGGAGTGGTCTACAGTGTATCCTGCCTTCATACATTCATGACTGAGCAAATACATTTATTAATTCAATTTTTATCTGTTCAGGCCGAATCTTTGAGAGAACATTTTTCAGGTTTTGATTATTTTGCAGGTTATTCGTCACTTTTTTGGGGGGGGGTGCTCTAAGAAGGAGGGAAAAAGGGAAGTTGGTCTCTAGAAGTCCTGTGTTCATATCAACTTTCCAGCCTCTGTTGAGGTTGTGTGGCATCAAGTAACCTCCCTGGTATAATATGGTGTACTTGGTGTCAGATATCTGGACATAGGTGATGTATTTAGAATATTGCAAGTACAGAGACTGTGGTTACTCAGATTTTTAATAGCTGCAAATAAATATGCTGAGATGTGTTTGTATAAATTTGAGTAAACTTGAGCCACAATTTGATCTGATGTTGTGGTCCAACACCTGAATCTCACCACTTCTTATCTCTATAGCTCTCACAAAAGTGGCCTTCGGTTTGCCACGCCTGTTCCATGGGGGAAAAATGCAGTAATTTGGTATCATCATTTTAGAGGTGGAGTAGTTCTCAAGAGCCACTTTTCAGCTCTTGGGTCTAATGTGGTCCCCAAGGAAAGTGCTAACCGTGTCTGACTTGGCATTTCAAGATCAGCTACATTTGGCTAGCTGTTGTTCCTTAGCTGGGTGGGTCTTATACTAAAACGTTAACAGTGGGTTAAAAACACAAACTATGTTAATTTCATCAATGTTTTGCAGTGCGTTGCCCAGCGCTTAAAATGAAACTCTACACATTTTTGTATTAAGTTGCTGCCTTGATTAGTATTAATAGTGTATTAACTTGATTAGTATTTAAACTAAAACAATCTTTCCAGAGAGTAACGGTTTATCAAGCTGCTGAATTTTAAAGTTGATATTTATATATCTGCATTTATTTGGGTGGCTTTTGGTTAGTGAGTTAAGTTTTTGTTAAGCCACTAATAGCTGCCTTCATATTGGGGATATTTTGCTGCTCATTTAGCAGAGCCTTTATCAGGAGTTTTATTGGGAAAATGTTTTAGGCCCAAAGACCTAACTTGTAAGATTATAATTGGGTGGCAGGGAATTGCAAAGCTTTAAGGCACGCTCCTCAGTCACGATTTCTGCATCTTAAACAGAGCTGCAGTTGAAAGAAAGATTGTGATGTGTAGGGTGTGGAAGGATGAGGTCACAGCAGCAACTAAAAGCTTGTCCCCGATATTTTGTAATGTTTCCACCTTCTAGCAAATGTTACAGCAACTTCAAGCTTCTTTTGTTCTTTGAGAACAAAAAAGCTTAAAAAAGTTTCATGATTGGCATGCTGAGAAGACATGCTTCTTGGAGACAGTGGGTTTGCAGTCATACCTCATATCTATTTGATAACTAACTTAGCTCTGGAATAATAAAAAAAATGCTTCTGTGTACAAAAAAAAATATTTTTACGTGCTGAACCTGGCAGAGGCTAAGGAAGAAATTGAGTGATGTCAGTAGAGCTTTTTCACGGAGAGTGAAAGAACGTGCAGTGATTCTGAGGCTACGTATAACAATCTGGCTGCGTTCCTTAATTTTGCCACAGGAAAAAAAAAACTGGGAAAAAGTTCCTCTGTTCTATTACTGTTTTTTCCAGGGGTGAAAATATTCTAGGACTGTTTATTTGGCGGATGTTCCCTGCCCAGTGATGTTTGGCAATTCAAATGTAATAGTTCTAAAAGATTAGCGTTGATTCAAAGGCTCTTTGTAGCCATTCACTTAAATTAAACCGATTGGAGTGAGATCTGAAAGATGCTGCTGCAGCTGCTGCCAACCACTGAAATGGCAGAAAAGTAGGGTGGACCAGGCTGCCTTTGCAGTAAAGTGGGGGAAGGTGGAGGGCTCGCCTGGAGCCAAAATCCTTCAGGCGGCTGAGCTCATTCCGTGCTTACCTGAATGAATTGTTCCCTGCACACTTTCCTATTCAGTAAACAATAATGACTTGTTTTGAAGCCATTTTTCTTGGCAGTCACAAAGTAAATGTGGCCTTTGCTCGTTCTTTAGGCTGGATGGAAGGAAAACCATGCCACTTTCATGAATGAACTGAAAAACCTGCAAGCGTCAGGATTGACCACCCTGGGGCAGGCACTTCGATCATCGTTTGACCTGCTGAACCTCAACAGATTAGTCTCTGGAATAGACAACTACGGGCAGGTAATGGATGCTGGCCTTGAATTCCCTCGCTTCATTGGCTGAAGAAGTTTTAAGAGCTCTTCCATGAAATGGACCAGAGCCGTTACTGTGTGCTTAAAATCAATTCTGTGGGCTCCATGGAGTAATCCACTTGCCCTGTCCAGGGAGGCTGAAATCTTCCCCTCCCCCTCCTAGCCAGAAACAAAAATTCAGTATTTTTGTTCCTCTTTTCTTGGGGTGAGGACTCTTCTTGGGTTAATTTCAGTTGATTGGTTAAGTTCAGCTATGAACGCATTACCTTTGACTCTTTGAAGGTGTTAATTTGGGCATTTTGTTCCTTTCTGTAGGGGAGGAATCCATTTTTTTTGGAGCCGTCAATTTTAATTACCATCACAGATGGAAACAAGCTGACAAATACTTCTGGCGTTCAAGAGGAGGTAAGATAGGCTTCTAAATTGCTATGCTCTGAACGTGGCGTTTGCTGTTAAAATGTTAACACTCTCCTGTGCTCATATTCTCTTATAAAGAAATCAAATATTTTATTAAAAATGCAGGATTGCTTATTTTGTTCACGTGGTGCCCTTTTTCTGCGATCCTCAGAGATGTGACAGGCTGTTACAAACCTGTAAGATAAGCTACTCAGTGAGAAAATAAGAATGTCGGAATCTGCCAGAGAGTCAGATCTTGTTTCTTTTAGCCGAATATTGTCTGCTCTGCCTGGGTTCAGTTTCTCAAGCAGGACTCTCCCAGCCATACGTGGGGAGACGTTAGGTTTGTGCCATAAACTTTGCACACAATGAGTGTGACGCCTCTGCAAAGAGAAATCTTGCGTGAGGTTCCCCGAGTGTTTCATCTCTGGCCGAGTCTACAGGGAACCCTCTGGTACTTTCACCAGAACAGCCAGTGCTGGAAACCAGTCTCTGTTCAGTGGGCCTTGCCCAACAGGAAGCTGATTTTGGTCACCTTTGCTTGTTGAGTCCTAGCAGACTCTTTGCTAAAATGTTCCTCTTCTTCTTTCTAGCTCCATCTTCCTCTGAATTCTCCCCTGCCTGGTAGCGAACTAACCAAAGAACCGTTTCGCTGGGATCAACGACTGTTTGCCCTTGTGCTGCGCTTGCCCGGAGCCCCTTCAGTGGAACCCGAGCAGCTAGGGAGCGTTCCCACAGATGAGTCTGCCATCACACAGATGTGTGAAGTCACTGGAGGTAGCCAGCTTTTGCAGGATTTTGGAAATCGTGTGAGATTCTAGCCCGGGCAGACAAGGTTGAACTTTAGTTGATGAGAATGCATCTCTCTTGTGGGTCGCGCCTTGGGTTTTCTCTCCCCACAGTCTGTGCTGGCTTTTGGGGAACATTAGTACAGCCGCTCCAAAGCAATAGTCCTTGTTGAGTTTATGAAGAAGATTTTATACTTTTCCAATCTCCTGGTACACCTTGCCCTTTTGAAGGGCTTGTCAAACTTCACTGTAACACGCTGTGGGAGAAATACAAAGATTGGATTGATCCAAAGGTCCATGTTGTTAATACTCACAATACTGATGTTGTCTTTGGTTTTTCAAGAAGAAGCATCATGAACATTCAAGACTCTTTGTATAAAACTTTGCCATCCAGCTGTAGAAGCACTTTTCTTTTGAGATATGATTAGGGAGAGCCACTTTAGAAACATTTCTTATAGAATTAAAAACCACCTCTACATACTGTCAACAAGGGTGCATTGTACTCTCTTGTCACCATACTTTCCCTTTTCCAGATAGAACTTTTTCCAGAACGGGATCAGATGGGAATAAAATTTACCCTCAGCTTTAATTCTGAAAAAGCTCCAAGTTCAGTTTTTTTTTTTCAGTACCTTTAAATGAAATTATGCAGCTTCCCCCTTCCTGCAGTTCTTAAGTCTGCAACGTGTTTCTCGCAACTTGCCTGATTTAAAACCTGCCTGTTTCCTGTTTTCTATTCCAGGGCGCTCATATTGTGTTCGGACACAGCGCATGTTGAACCAATGCTTAGAGTCCCTTGCTCAGAAGGTTCAGAGTGGTGTGGTCATTAATTTTGAAAAATCAGGACCAGATCCTCCTCACATTGGGGAAGGTACAGTTAAAGCTTTGTGTAGACCCTTAGCTTAGTAGACCTTAGTTGAAGGATCTTTGCTGATTTCAAACAGGGACCTGGCCATTAGACCCCTAATACTTTGAACTGACACAAATTAAGTTTGGATGGCTGCTCCCCCACTCCCATATATTAAACTGAAGTTGTGCTAATATTTATAATCCCTATTTTGTTGCATTGTCCCAGTGTAGACAAAACTGCTCATTGTGCTGAAGAGCTTATTGGTGTTGTATGTTTCTTACTGTACTGTTTTCCCTTGGATTTTAGATGGACTGGTTGATGCCACGAGGCCTATCAATTCCTTTGGTTCTCAGCCATGGCACAGCTGTCATAAACTCATCTATGTGCGTCCAAACCCTAAAACGGGGGTGCCAGTTGGCCATTGGCCAATTCCCGAATCTTTTTGGCCTGATCAGAATTCTCCAACGCTGGTATGTAAGATACTAAGAATTCTGTGCCCTGTAGTTGAGACAGCATCGTAGTGGAGGTGTTCCATTCCATCTCCTGGAGGTCCTGCAAACCTGTCTTTCAAATAGTTAAACATCCCCTATGAAGGACCTTGAACCTACTTAAAACACTTGAGGGGCTGTTTCATTTTATAATTGTTCATAGAGCTTTGTTAGGAACCTTGTAAAAAATCTGGAATAACCTTTGAATATGTTGAATTAAGCTAAAAATGATAGCAATAAGTACTTTTTGGAATGGGTTGGGACTTAACCTTCTGCAGCACTTCTGACTCCGCTGTTACGTCCTTTCCAGCCCCCTCGCACATCTCATCCGGTGGTGAGGTTCTCCTGTGTGGACTGTGAACCCATGGTGATTGATAAACTGCCATTTGACAAGTACGAACTTGAACCGTCGCCTTTAACGCAATATATCTTGGAACGGAAGTTGTCTCACGTCTGCTGGCAGGTACTTGCCTGATCTGTGTTTCAGATACTTAACTGTACAGATTTTAAAAAGTTTGGAAATAGCCAAACCGATCCCATTAGCCTGGCCCTTTGCTGGGCAGCCCTTGGTTAACCCATCGAGGGACCCCAGTTCAATCCTCATTGCTCTTACTGTAATTGAAGACTTTGGAGGAGAGAGTATCTGTAGCTGCTTTCATTCAGACCAGCCATGCTATTCTGAGCAGGCAGGTGGTAGCCTTTCTTGAAATTTCACAGTTCCAGCTGGCAGGCTTCTTGCGATAATCCATTTCACAGGTAACTCCAAATTGCATGGAATTGCTTGCTGCTGAGTGGTAAGGATGTTAGTGGATTGGCAGGAAACTTCATTTTACTACCTATAGTGGTTGCAGGGGAAGAGAGAATGTTTTTTATCGTTTTCTACCTGGTCCTGGGACTGTTCTGCAGCTTCTCCTCTCCCCGTTCAGCCTTATTGGTCACTGTAACATAACTCTCCAGAAATGTAGTTTAAAAGAGCAAAAAGAAATTAAGATCCTCTTCGGGGGTCCAGAATTTTCCAGAATTCAGGAAAAGCCGTATTTGTCTTTTATGTTAATATGAATGACAACGGATAATGTGAGAATTGTTTGTCAGGTTATATTATGAAAGATTGTAGCCTAACCACGATTAGAAAGCTCCATGGGGCCCCAGTCTTAGCATGATGAAGTGATGTTTTGGTAGTACTGTTGGTTAAATAAGAGAAATTGAGAAACAAACTCTCCAGGCTACTTTTGTTCTAATATATATCCCAATCTGATCCTTTTTGGACGCAGAGGAGCACAATACCCCTTGCTATCAGTGGCCACATTGAGTGGGTGTTTTGGGAGTTGTAGTTTAGCCCGTGTGTCATGCACTGTGCTGGGAAAGTTTGCTATCGGTTCACTAGAAAAAAATCAGAAATTTAACTGAAAGGACACGAAGCAGCAGTCACCTCTGTATAAAATATGGCAAATGTTTTATCTCACAAGCATCCAGCCTGGAGTACTTTTTAAGAGACCATTCACACCTGGCTTCTTTTCCAGCTTCTTTTTTAATAGTGAACCAAGACGCTCTGTTCCACCCGGTGTGTCTAATTTTCCTCCTTCCCCTTCTCTTTCCCCCCCCCCCAGGTATTTGTGAGCAGCAGCGCAAAATACAGCGAGCTCGGACACCCCTTTGGTTATTTAAAGGCCAGCACCAGCCTGACCTGTGTCAATCTCTATGTGATGCCTTACAACTACCCCGTTCTGCTCCCTCTGCTCGGTAAGCACTGTCCTGCCCGGCCACCTGCCCGGATTGTAGGAAGGTTGTTCTGTCTGTCTATATTTGTCCGTGCTGTATGTTTGCCAGCCGTTTTCTTAAACGGGATGGGAACCAAGTGTTGCAAACTGCTACGTTGGGAGAAGAGGCTTTTTACACCCCCTCTCCCTTTTTTTCTCTGCAGCAGAGGAGGAGAGCCACCTGCTGCCAGTGCATGTTTGATGCTGCTCACCTCCTAGACTCGTAGCTTCTTCCTTAATTGGAGTAAGGTTCAACCTCCATTCTTTTCCCTCTTTCAGGCTGTGGTGTCTCCATTTCTTGCAGCAGCATGTATATAGCCCTGTGTTTTGTTTTCATTTGAGAACTTGGGCTCAGAATTTCCAAGGGTTTATAAGATTGGGGACAAAAAGAAAAAAAAACAAGAAAAAAAAAACAAGCTTGCTGTTCCCTTCTTTTGCAAGAAATAAGCACCTTATCTCTGGGTGGATTTATTTCACAAGATTTATTTTAGCCTGGATCCCGACTTTTTGGTCGGAAGGAAACCCAGGTTGCCTTGCCTTGCTGCGTTACAGTTTTTGGTTCCTAAAGCAGAATGTCTGGGTAGAGTCAGTTTTGCTTTAACCTGAGCTCCATGTTTGAACGTGAATGTCTCTGGATGGCCTCTAGATGCCCAGGCATCCTTCCTCCCAGTATAAAGCAGATAGGCTCTTCTTCAAAGTTGCCACAATGAGGATGATCACTCACACGGATTGTGGAGTATTTCGCCTGTGGAAATTGTCCCCAAATTTAGAATGTGAGTCCTTTTTCAGGTATCAGCTGAGCTCATGGCAGATCCCATTTTGTTAGCCGTTGCTTAGAAGAAAAAAATCAGTTTCTGACTTGTGAATGCTGTGGAAGGAAACACCTAGGGCTGTGTGGCCTGTCCAGTTCTGCTTTCTTCCTTGTCCCTGAGCCCAATTTCAGCTTTGTCCCTTAACTCCAACTCCTGGCTCATTGTGTAGGCCAATAACCATCCTTTTCCTGCCCCGTTTCTAACCCTGGCCTTGCAGTTCAGAAGTGCATGGACTTTCCTGCCTTATAAGTGAACTTGACAGACCTAGTTAGACCCTCTCAGTTGCATTTGACAAGTTTGATAGCTCTGCCTTTTTCTTTCTCTGCCAACCACTTGTTTTCACAACCGAAAACAAATGTAAGGCTGATTTCTTTTTCAGCATCTGTACCTCGCTTCACACATTTGTTTTTAGGTCTTTATTTTTCAGTCCAGCTGACTAAATGTTAAAACAGCAGGGTGGAGATTCCAGGCTGCATGACTCACAGCCAAGATGTTTGCTGTGTGGTTGGGTAATTTTGCAAATAGGGGAATGATAAATGGAAGTGTATACGTCTTGTGCTACTTCTTGCCTCAGTTGAGGAATATATCCAGAAGCACACTGAATTACTTACTGATTAAGTCCTGAGTATTTTCCTAAACTTTTTATCACTCAGCTCTCTTGTTTCCTTGGAACAAAAAATTCAGATGGATTGTTGTTTAGTACATTTTTGGCCTTCCCCTTTCAGAAAGACTTTCTGCTTATTCTTGTGCCCTAAATTGTATTGGGGTATATTTTGAAAGAGTGATTTTGGAGAGAGAACTGCTGGTAAACAAGAGATTTTATTCCCCCCTCCTTTTTTGGGGGGGGGGATATGATTTTACTTGAGATTTCCTGTTGGCTTCAGACCTTACTCTGTTCCTATAGGTCAAAGAAAACAGGAACTCCTTGCTATTCTTCTGTAATATTTTTTTCTAATGTATATATGTAGGTAAAGAAACCTACATTATAAATTGTTCCAGTTTTATCTGTATCGGCTTCCAACTACATAGACTTGATCTGGCCGCTCCTCAGATTTTGTTTGCTTCTTGCCACTTTTTTTGTGCATTGTTAATTTGCTACATTAAAAAACTGAGAATATCTACTGTCCCAATTGGCAGAGATACTAAATGGAGATGTAAAAACAAAGGCTCTCCTCTAAGTTGTCCTTCCCAATTCTTGGTTGAAGGCTGTAGATTGCATGAGATGGAGGCTTCTTGTCTGGATGATAGCTAGTTGGGTTTAGATGATTGGCTTTGTTAAGTAACTTTTGTATTTTTTAAGAAGAATTTCCAACCAATTGTGTCTCCCAAAGATAATATGTTCCTGATGGCTTGTTTGAGGTTCCTTTTCTATCAGGAAAGTTGAATAAGAGTTTATCAGGAATTCCATCTGTTGCTTAGTTACCTATTTTAAAACAATCAGCGTTGCTGCAATTTATGGAGTGCCCCCCCTCCCCACAGCCCCATTCGTTTCAGCTTCTTGTTGTGATGCAAGGAACACACTGCACCGAAAGCTGAGGAAGACCCTGGCTTCAGTTTAAGGCTGTATGGCATGCTTTGAAAAATAATTTCAGACTGAAATTTGAAGCTAGCTTTGAAGAAGTGCTGGGTTTCAGCGTGCTTTGAAGCACTGTTTCTGAACCGTTTTCGAAGCAGGCCCAGGCCTACCTCAGAGGTCTCGAACTAAGTAACACCATTTCTCTCTCTTTTTTTCCCCCTTGCCTTTGTGTCAGACACAACTACTGGACACGTCCAACCACTTCCCAAAATTTTTGAAAGTGGTTTTGTCATTCCCTTTTTCCTAGAGCCGAGAGTGAGTGATGGTCCAAGGTTTATCTAGTTGTCTTCTGCCTAAGGTGGGATTAGAGCTCAGGTTGTCCTGTTCCTGCTCCAGTGACTTCACACCTAGGCCAAATTGTCTTTCTTAAGATGTGTTACTTTTATGTGGTAACCCTGGATGGAGTTGTGGCATATAATAGCATTCTGCGTGTCTTTAGAAACAAAAAATAATCTTGTCCGTTCCAACATGGGATTTGATCTTGGAAACTCGCATCCCTTTGGATCTCGGTTCTTGAGGGATAATCTCATGGAGCAGAAAATAGTTGTGTTACTTTGACGTCCAAGTGTTGATGCCCAGTGTGTAACTTGCATTGTTTCTCCTCTTTGCAGATGACCTTTTCAAGTTTCACAAACTTAAGCCAAATCTGAAGTGGCGACAGGCATTGGACAGCTACATAAAAACCATGCCTCCCTACTATTTAGTGGTATGTAGATTTGTCCTTTTTATGGGCCCAAATGAACTGCTGGCGGATGTTCCTCAGGAGAACATCTTTTCGCATGTCTTCTGAGTCAAACGGCTTGCATGCCAGGATTCTGAAGTTCTTAATGCTTGCAATTTTGTACTCCTTCCTTAAAACGTTTTGGAATTCTTGCCTAGCATATTGATTTGGGGGGTTTATTTTTTTCAGCCCCTCCTTCCCTCCTTCTCCCCTTCGCCCTTGCTGGGTCCATTAACTTCAGATCTCTGGGCTACTACTGCTAGTTGTATAAGCAAGGGATGGTAGCATTTAACCCTGCTCCTGGCAGAGCCAGAGGTGGGAGGGAAGCCGATGAACTAGATGGGCAGTATGGAAATTACCTGGATAGCTTGGGCAAGATGCCTCATTGTGGACTTGCATCATCCCGGCAATCAGGGCCTCCAGCTCCTGCGCTGTAACTTGGTGGGGGTGCCAGGCTGGTTCCGTGGCCCAGACACCCACCGTGAGATGCCTTAAACGACTGGAGTGTACGACTTCGAATCCATGCTTCAAAATAAAATAAAATAAAATAAAAAATGGCATATTGGAGCACCAACTCTGTTGTGCCTTAATTTCACATGTACTGATCTGTGAGACTTCTTTTTTTCAAACAAACAAACAACAAACAATTTCTTTAAAGAAAAAAAGATTTGATTCTCTTCTTACTCTTGTGTATTTTGTTTTCCTTATAGCCATTAAAGAAAGCGCTAAGGATGATGGGAGCTGCAAATCTGATATCAGATAATTTAGATTGTGGACTTAGTTACAGTGTTATCTCTTACCTTAAAAAACTCAGCCAACAGGTAGTATCGACAAAACCTTTGAAATTAGAAGTACATTAATTATTATTATTTTTTTAGTGTGTGTTGCTCGAGTTATATAAATAAATCACCTAAGGAATGTCTTCCCCCTCCCTCCATTCCCTCCCATTATTTTTCAGATAGATAAATGGCCTGTTTGCATCTCTGTTTCCAATAGGTGGTGGTCTGGCCCGTAGCACAAGAAATAGAAGAGGACAAACAATTTTAGTGTAGCTGTTTATTGTTCACTGGGCTGTGGTTGTAAATAATTAGCATTGTCAGCATTGAAACAGCAGCAGTTGTTCTGTGCTGTTGGTACCTAGAGGTCACATAGGAACTGGTTTTTTTTTAAAAGAAACAAAACCAAACTAGACAAATCACAATACTAAGGCTAGTCAAATAATCCCTTTCTTAGAGTATGTAAGAAATACTAAGAAGAACACGTCTTTGGGTTTTATTGAGTTATGAATTAAAGTTGCATGTTTTGGGGAAAATGCTAAAGGATGCCTAATGCTTTAAAAAGCAGGGGTCTCCAACCTGGGCAACTTTATAACTTGTGCACTTCATCTCCCAGAATTCCTCAGCCAGCCTCATGGTAGCCTAGGAATTCTGAGAGTTAAAGTCCACAAGTCATAAAATTGCCAGCAATGGAGACCCTTGCTTTAAAGAATGGCATGGAGGTATCTTCCCACAGAGTGGGAAACTTCCCATTGAGTAAACGTAACGTTGCAGGTCAAAACAACTGATCGCAAAGTGTCCCCCTTCCCCTCCGTTCTATTGTTTGCTGTTTTGAATAACTTGAGTAATTGGTTAAGAAATCTACTACCTACCACTAGATGATATTAAGAATTACCCAAAACCCATTCCCCTTCCACTCGGATATCTTGAGGTATCCGAGGAAGGCCTTCAGGGTCCCAACTTACTGTAGAACTTAGGAGGCAAAAAGCTCAGCGTTGCAGCTAATTGAAGTAGCTGAGATTTAACACATTTCCTTGGTTTTCTGTGGGATGCAATGCTGCACAGTACTTGGAGTAACATCATGACAAAAGGCTTGAGAAAGCAACTCTTGGGCAGGGTAGACTTAAATTTTGCTGTTTGTCCTGTGATAGCCATGACCTTTGCTAGTAGTTACATGAGAAAACCAGAATGTGTGATGAAAGAAATCCTCAAATCCAACATAGTCTATAACAATACTTGGAAACCGGATATGGCTGTGTCTTTCCAAAACCCAAACAGTTAATTCTCTAGAAGTCAAGTTCAGGATAATGCCTTCTCTCTCTCTCTCTCTTTCTCTCCCCCCTCTCTTTCTTCCTTTAAATTATACAAATTCTCTTTTAAGTGCATACACTTAATGTTGGCCAAAGGGCTCTGTGATTTGTAGTGCAGTTGCTTAAAGTGGAGCTGTAGCCCAAAGGGCAGGAGACCAGGATGTATTTTAGGGGAATCTAGTGAAATTGTTGCTGTGACATATTGGGTGAGAAGGTTGTTCTGTCCAAAATTCTGTTCAACAGAGGTTCTAGGTCAATGCTCTAAATTGCTTGCCGTGTTCTTTGAAGGATTGGCCTGTTCTGCACAAGCCTTTAATCCCTTTGCAGTGCAGTAGCCTTTATGGGACTAATATAAACCAGACATGCAAGTTTTTAAGCTGCACAGAGCCCACCTGGCAAACATGGTTATCTGCAGCAGAGGCTGTAGAGTGGGACAGACTAAAAAGGAACACTGAGGACCTGCTCTGTCCAATGGATATCCGTCTGCCATTCCCCTGCCTTTACCTTATATGCAAAAGCATTCTCAGTTGGCTTTCTGCTGCCCATTTGGCAGTCTTAAGTCATCCATATGTTAAGAAAAGGCCCACGGTGCAATTTGAAAGCTTGCATAACCTCGACAAATGGTTGTGATGGTGTTTTAGCAAAACGCTGTGAATCCTTGAGAGGACTCATTTTAAGCAGGGTTTTTTTTTTTTTTAATTTAAACTAAACTCCCGATGCTCGGAAGGCAAACTTTGTCTTTCGATGTGCTGGGCGTTTGCTTTATGCTATAAACAACGGCAGGGCTGTGGGGCTGTCATTAATGGGCGCTGTGATTTTCATTGCAGACAAAAATAGAGTCGGAGCGGATAATAGGGTCAGTGGGTAAGAAACCCCCGCAAGAGACGGGCATTAAAGTGAAGAGTCACTCCAGTGGCCTGTCCCTCATCCAGAGCAGGGATTTCAAGCAGTTGCTTCAAGGGATTTCTGGTGACTCCCCCCTGAGGCTGCCTGAAATGAACGTGAAGGAATTTGCTGGCTTCCAGATAGGGCTCTTGAATAAGGTGAGTTGGATGCCGGGTCTGAAGGAAGTGGACGCCTCCTGACTTTTCAGAAGTAAAACAGGACTTAAGCCCATTGTGTTCTTTGCCCAAACCCAGGATCTAAAACCACAGGCCTACCGCAATGCTTACGATATTCCTCGTCGCAGCCTTTTAGACCAACTGACCCGGATGAGAACTAACCTGTTGAAAACACACAAGTTTATTCTAGGCCAGGATGAAGGTAAGGATTCTCGTGGTTTGTTGGGCATGGGATGATCCCTTGGCTGGAGTGCTTTACGTCTGCCTCCAGATGACCCAGGTAGCCTCCGTTTGGTCTTTCCCAGACCTTGATAAAGGGTTGAACACGGAAGGCCACATATTTGCAAAGGAGGTGCTTTATCTCAGAGCTCAGGCCTGGGAGTAATTTGGAGGTGTGGCATTGTGGGTTATGTACAGTTTGAATTACAGAATGAGGATTCTTTTCCCCCTTGTTTTGGACTTGTTTTCCAGGTAATGTTTAATATTGGAAGTTGTAAATCAAGGCAACTCTTAAAGGAGAGCTTCCACTCACTAGCCTGAGATGCTGTCTGTCAGCTACAGAAGTAATCTTGGCTTTGAGCCCCAGTCTGCATTTTTCAGCATCTGGGGACCAAGACTTTTTAAAAATGGGAGGAAATGCCCACTGGAAAAAACCACCGATGTAACTGCTCATCAGCAGAAGAGTTAACCACTTAGACCAGGGGTCTTCAAACTTGGCCCTTTTATGACTTGTGGACTTCAACTCCCAGAATTCCTTAGCCAAGCGCAATTCATAAAAGGGCTAAGTTTGAAGACCCCTGACTCAGAAGGTTTTCTTTATAGTGGAGCTTGAGGCTAGGACGTTTGCAACTGTCCTTCCTCATTTGGGGAGCATCATGTTGAGAAAGAGGTATTGAAGGTGCTAACAATACATGGGTTTCTTGGATGCAGCTCTTCTCCAAAGGAGAAATTCTTATTGCAGCCATAAGATTTTTTTTCTTGGGGGGGGGGTTAGGGTTAAAAAATACGGATTCTGGCAAACGAGGTACCTGGCTCTTGTCTTGCAGATTGCCTTCACAGTGTTCCTGTAGCACAGATGGGGAACTACCAGGAATACCTCAAGATGATGCCTTCTCCCCTTCGAGAAATTGACCCAGACCAGCCCAAAAGGCTTCACACTTTCGGAAACCCTTTCAAGCAAGATAAAAAGGTAGGGGATGGGTGGGTGGGGGGCTGTATCCTCCCTGGCCCAACCCTGAGCTCCATCCCCTTTCTCCCATCCTCACCTGGTGGGGGAGTTGATGCAGGAGATACAGCCTGTTGTCCTTCGTGGGTGATGCTGATGGTGTTCTTTTCCTCTCAGGGAATGATGATCGACGAGGCGGATGAATTCGTCGCCGGTCCTCAGAACAAAGTCAAACGTCCAGGAGAGCCCAACACGCCGGCATCCCTGAAGAGAAGGCGCAGCATGTCCCCGCTCTTGAGACGGCCGCAGTCGCCGCCAGTGGTGGCTAACCACGTTGGCGGGAAAGGATCTGCCTTGGCTGCTGGGCCCTCATCCAACCCGAGTACTAAAACCACGCCAGCTTATAAAGGTATAAAGTCGCTTCTAGACAAGATGGGCGGCACCAAAATACGAAAGAAATAAATAAACTCAGTTGCCCAGATGCAAGAGTTTTGATCCTTTATTCTTTATGCCCTCCTGGCTGTAACCCTGCCCTGCTTGCCCAGAAGAAGGCCTGGGTGTCGCAGGGGCCAGATGAGGCAGGGAGATGCACCCTGGCCCCTCCTTGGAACTTCCACAAGAGAGACATGTACATATCATGTTTCCCCGATAATAAGACCCAAGCGGAAAATAAACCCTAGCATGATTTTTCAGGATGCTCGTAATATAAGCCCCAGTTAAGATTGTCAGCCAGACGGACGCATTTAGTACTGTATTTCCCCGCATATAAGCCCTAACCGGAAGATAAGCCCTAATGCGTCTTTCAGAGCAAAAATTAATATAAGACCTGGTCTTATTTTGGGGGGAAAACATGTACATACTAATGAAGATACTTTTGAAGGTGTAACATTTTCTGAATGAAAACACCTCTTTTTATGCGTGAAAAAAAATGTGTATCAGTGGGCTTTCTTGTGTTCACCAGCAGGTGGCTCAACTAATTCAGGTGTGCTCTGCAGGACAAAAGGAAGGGAAAGAGACTTACCTGGGCCAGCTTTTCAGGATGCCGTCCAAATCTGTGGAACAGCCTGTCCTACCAGTTTTGTGTTGATTTGGGATGTTTTTCTTCCTTGATCGGCTTGTTGTTGTCTGATGCTGGCCTTGCTTCTCTGGGTGTTGGATACTTGAACTTTTGACTTGGGGCTTAAAAATTTCCAGATTGGCAACCAGATTAATAAACTTTGCAAATAAGCTGTCGTTAAGGGATGCTTTCCAGCCCTCTCTAAGCAGTTTACAGAGTCAGCCTCTTGCCCCCCAATAATCTGGGTTCTCATTTTACCAACCTCGGAAGGATGGAAGGCTGACTCATCCTTGAGTCAGACAGGATCGAACTGATGGCAGCCTGCAGTCAGCAGAAGTAGCCTGCAGTACTGCGTTCTAACCACTGTGCCATTGTGGATATCTTTGCCGTACAGTTGCTGAGTTTTTTCCCCAGAAATCCTGGTGCAGTTAAAAGAAAGGGAATACAGGTAGTCCTTGATTTATGATCACAATTGAGCCCTAATTTTATGTTGCTAAGTGAGACATTTGTTAAGTGAGTTTTGCCTCATTTTACAACTTTACTCACCCCATTTGTTAACTGAATCACAGCAGCTGTTAAATTAGTAACAGTTGTTAAGTGAATCTGGCTTCCCCATTGACTTTGCTTGTCGGAAGGTCACAAAAGCAGATTGCATAACCCCAGGACACTGTGACCGTCATAAATATGAGTCAGTTATCAAGCATCCAAATATAAATCACATAACTGTGGGGATGCTGCAACGGTCATAAGTGTGAAAAACTGTCCTAAGTCACTTTTTTCAGTGGTGTTGTAACTTCGAACCATCACTAAATGAACCGTTGTAAGTCGAAGACTGCCTGTACCGTAGCGTGGAATTTTGTCACTTTTGTGTTGCTATGAATTTTGAATTCCAGGCTTCCTATACATTTGAAAGAAGATGTCTCGTTAAAGAGTTTGTCCCATCAGCTTTATTCCGTGTTTGGTTGGTGATTGTGAGCTTTGTAGCTTGAACTTTCAGTGTCTTCCATCTTTTGAAACTCAGTGCAGGACTTCTCTTTTACAGATACAAACAGCAATACGGTTCAAGATGGCAATGGTGAAAAGAAAGCCGAGAATTTCCAGCTGCTGGACAAACCAGGGGACGGACCTTTGGTGCATATTGTTCCTCCGTCCCCGGCTGCTGTGGTGGATGAAGACCTGCCAAACGATACGGACTCTTTGACCGGTGAACTGAATTGTGTTGGGGAAGATGGACTGGACCATAGACCTGTAGTCAATTCCCTCGTCAGGGGCCCTTTAAACTACAGTATATCCGCCGAAGACCAAAAACTGCTCGAGGAGCCAGCTTCTGGAACTGTGCCAAATTCAGTGAAAATAACATCCAATATGTTTGAAGGAAACAACGAAGTTATCAAAATCAAGGTTATGAAGGAAGTTCGGAAACCTGGGAGAAGTAAGTGACTGGAAAGATCAAAACTGGATGCAATATTCCAAGTATGACCTTACAATGCCTCGGTAAGGCCACACTTGGAATATTGCATCCAGTTTTGGTTGCCACATTATAAAAAAGATGTTGGGACTCTGGAAAGAGTGCAGAGAAGAGCAGCAAAGATGATTAGGGGACACTGGAGGCTAAAACATATGAAGAACTGTTGCTGGAATTGAGTATGTTGAGTTTAATGAAAAAAAAAAGGACTAGGGAAGACAGGATAGCAGTGTTCCGCTATCTAAGGGGTTACCACAAAGAAGAGGGGGATCAATTTATTCTCCAAAGCACCAGAAGGCAGGACAAAAAGCAACGGGTGGAAATTAATCAAGGAGAGAAGCACCCTGAAACTAAGGAGAAACTTCCTAACAGAACAGTTAATGAGTGGAACAGCTCTTCTCCAAAAGTTGTGGTTGTTCCATCATTGGAAGTTTTTAACAAGAGTTTGGACAGTCAATTGTCTGAAATGCTATAGGGTCTCCTATCCGAGCATGGGGTTGGACTAGAAGACCTCCAAGGTCCCTTCTAACTCTGTTATTCTTAAGAGACACACGGGTGGACTGCGTATGTTTCATCGCTCCTTCAAAACAACGAATTGGGAAGAAAATCTGTTCGCTTTAGCAGGCAGGGCATGGGGAGTGTTATATCTCCGTTATTACTGAAATTCTTAAGTTGTCCAGTCCGCACCCCTTATAAACCCATTCACCTAGAAGCAAAGTTGAGGTTTTTCAAGGTGAGTCTCTTGACAGTTTTTAGCATCAAGAATTCCTTTTCTGGCATGAGTATAAAGAATCTTAAAAGTATTGCAAAATATCCTCAAACACCCAATACGTAACACCTATCAAACGGAAAAATTTTTTTTTTTCCAAGTTCCTGTTTTAAGCCGTTGGGAGGAACTCGCGGGGGGAAAGGACATTAAATGCAACAGAAGAAAGACTGCTGCTTTTCGGAGAGTGATACATTAGAAGCCTAAGAGTTGGAAGGGATTTGAAAGGCCGCTAGTTCCAGCCCTTGCTTAGCACAGAACATGGCTAACGGGGGGCTCCACAGGAAGAGAACGCAACAGGTGTACCCAACTGTTCCACTGGCTGAAGCTTGTGCAGTCAGCTAACAGTTAGCCTGAACCACCTTGTAGCTTTATCTTGCAGGTTCTGTCCTAAATTCCTCTCCATGTGATACTCCTTCAGATATTTGAAGAATGTTTTTGGACCATCCCTTAGCCATCTCTTCTTCAGTAGGGTAAACTTTTCCAGATCCTTTAACTCAGGGCTCCCCAATCCCTGGGCCGGTCTGTGGCCCATCAGGAACTGGGCAAGTGAGCAAAGCCTTATCCACGCATGTGCGGGGTCCCCCCCCCCCAGTCCACGGAAAAACCACCCTCCACAAAACCAGTCCCTGGCGCCCAGAAGGTTGGGGGCTGCTTCTTTATTTTTAGCTCCTTCTTGAACAATGATGCTTCAATTGCGTGGATATGATTACTTCTGTTCATCACATTCTCATCATACACCAAGTAAATAAATAATGATGCTTAGAACTGGGTAATTGTTCCAAATCGGGTCTAACCAGGAGAAAACAATTCTGTGATGCAAATCTAATCTAAATCAACACGAGATTAGATGGGGTTGAACACAAGGTGCCTCTGAAGTTTGTCACCGTGGTGCTATAGATGACCATTTATGATTCAGTTGGTGTGAATCCATTCCATTGTGTCTTTCTGAATCATAGCGTTGGAAGGTTCAGGAGAGAGACTCCAATCCGTTTTCTTTTAAACATTTTTTTATTCTGCTTTTCGGCCAATGCTGGGAGCGATTTGTATATGTCCTCAGACTGCAGACACAGGACAGAAGGAGAACGGGCAGGAGTAGCTTGCCATTCTTGACGGTCTGAAAACTGAAAAGGAGAAGTGTTGGCTGGGTGGGAATTTTGGTAAGCTGGCTGGTGGCCGAGTTGGAATAAAAAGCTCTGATGGTCTTCCAGTTCTATCCTAATCTAACCCTCTGTCTTTTTTTAAATTGTAGATTATGAAAAAATCTTCTCTCTCCTAGAAGAAATACAAGGCCCTGTAGAAATTCAAAAATATTTCATTGAATTTGCTATCAAAGAAGCAACAAGGTGTGTATTAAGAAAACAGGAAGGCTTTGCTTACCGCCTGGCTTGTTTACTTATTTTGCAAATATTTCAAAGGTGCTCCGTTCTGTCGGGCTCCAAGGGGCCTCTGCTATTTCCCGAGAGATCGGAGCTCTTGGCCTCTGTCGGTGAATGTTATCTGTAGAAACACTAAGCTTTGTCTGTTCAGACATACAGGGGAAGAAGAGTGTGACGCCCTTAATAAATGGCCTCCCCCTCCCCTCCCCACCCCCTTTTTTCTTTTAGGTTTAAAAAACGGGTCTTAATTCAGCACTTAGAAAGAATACTAGAGGAAATAGAGTTCAGCAGCCTTCCCAACCGAATTAATCATGTCAACAGTAGATAATAAGAGCAGGAGCCGGCCGAAGGAACGGACGGGTCCGGGCGATGGAGTTTGCTGTGTCGTGGAGGAATGGAAGAGGATGTGGCAGCCGCTGCCCCTACCAGCCGGGTGGCTTTTCTGTTGGCGTCTCAGAAGAAGGGTGACGTGTTTATGCTCGCGCACCTCCTTCGCCGGACACCGGAGGAAATTGCCGCAGGAGGTGTGGCTTCCTCCCTCCCCACCCACCTTTGGAGGGCTGATCTGCCCCTGGGCCGAAGAAAGACACTCGGGGCCGCCCCCTGGTCCTGCAGGTGATGAGAATTTACTCATTTGAACCCTTGCTATAAGACACTTTAAAGGGCTGCCGTAGGCCACCGGGGTGAGTGGCACCCCGTTACCTCTGCACTTGTGTCGGAGCGATCCTTTGTCCTAGAAACAAAAGAAAAGGAAGGAGGAGGAGGAGGAGGAGGAGGAAAGGCCCTCCGTGGTGGTAGTGCGTCTTGTCGCTACAGGCACGAAGGTGAACCTTTCCCGCGAGAGCGGCTAGCCCACCCAGGCACGAGGTTGCAGGGTTAATTGGATTGAGAGGAAAGGCGCCGCTCGTCTGGGTTGAGGAGACGCTCTCGAGAGCCCCGGGACGGACGGACTGGCTGGCCGCCTGCTGCGGCTGCTGCTCCTGCGGTAGCCACTAAACAACCTACCTCAGTCTTCCTCTTCTTCTTCTTTTGTCTGCAGACGTTCTGCAAGCGCGTCCGAGGCTCCCCAGGTCCAGGCTTCAGTTCTCTTTCATCTTGGTGAGGAGGACGGAGACTCTTCTCGTGGACTTGGCTTTGGAGGCGCTTAAAGGAAACTTGGGGGTTTAGAAACAAAAGCCAGGAAAAAGAACTGCCCTTCCCGCCCTCCACATGAATTTTACTTTTTAAATGTTCATACGAGAAGCTATTTTGGACAGTGTTGTTTAACAGATCCTTACTTTGAGATATCAAATGCCGTGCGTGTGTGTACATAGAACATCTATACATATATATAAATATATCTATATATATGAGAGAATTTTTTGAGCACTTGTACATAATAAAAATCATTTTATGATTTTTCTAAGGAGTGCCTGATCTGAATGGGGAATGGTTTTATTAGCCTTCCAGTTGTCTGTGAAAAATGTGGTTGGAAAGGAGCAGACGGTGCCCCTCCTGAGTCTCTTTTCTCATTGTTGAACCGAACTGCCTCAAGGTTGTCTTGCTGTGGTGCTCTGTCCACCTGCCTTGAAGCAGGCCTAAGCGGGCGACTTTTGTCCCGGGGTGAGTAGGATTGTCCCTTTAGACTTCAGCCTGTCCCATCCAGCTCCAACTTGCGTTTGCTGAGCTATGTATCTGCTTTTGGGGGGAAGAGTTTTTGTGCGATTGCTGAACAAAAAGGGAGTGATGTGCTCCAGAGGCTTCAGCTTGGGCCAGTTGCAGACAACTGGGAATTGGCATCCCAAACAACTGGAGACAACCTGCTAGCCACCCCTCTTGTCCAGATAAGGGAGCGATTGGGCTGATGGTAAAAGAGGCAGGTCTGGTGACTTCACAAGTGTAACCAGCCCGGGCTGTGGGATGCTCACGCCTGCATCCGTCTTGACTTGGGGGAGAAAGCTGGCTGGTTTAAGTTTTGTAGCTGCAATTTGGAAACTTGAGCATCAAGGCTGATTTCCCCCAACCCTTTCTGGCTTTGCAGAAGGGGGGGGGGATGATTCTGTGCGAGCAGTCAGCAAGCAGGTGCACACGCGCAGCTCCATTTGCGCAAGTGGCTAGCAAGTGCATCCATCACTCACGAAAGGAGTGTGCACTCGCCTGTTGCTCACACCGTGGGGATGCCGCACACGCTCGCCCACTTCAACGGCCCGGTTCTGAATGGCTTGTGGGCTGAGGGATCCCTAACATAGATTACCTTTCTTCCACTGTTTAGAGCACAGGCTGAAGAACTGTCTGCTTTTGCTCCACTGACTTCAGTCACAAGGATAACTAGAAACATCGTGTCCTGGGGAAGTCTAGATGTTTAAATCTGGTTGTCACTTCCAGTAGTTCATCGCAGGATAATAAGAATTAACTGGACGTAGGTGTTGCTCAGAACTGAAAGATTGTGTTGCATCAGCTAGGTTTTACTACAAAGGTACAGTACCTGACAGCTGCAGGCAAAAAAGTCAGATTGCATGCAAAAACTATTGATTATATTGGCAGGCCTGGTTCCAGCCTTAAATCGAGGCAAATTTTTCCCTGCAGACGTCGAAAGAAAGTAGCACAATGATCCTGAGAGTACTAAAAATAAAACCCAGTTCTGATTTGTGTAGTATCTCCAGGGAGAGGAAAGCTGGCTTGTGATTGCCAGAGGTGGGGTGCAACAGCTCTGGCAATTTCATCCAGTGCAGCCAAGAATACATTGATCAAGCAAGGCTGTTTTCAGAAATATTGGAAACTTTTCGAAGCGGGCATTTTCAATTTTATGTTCCCCTGAATTAGGCCCGTTGATCCCTTAACGCACCTCAATTGTGGGACTGTAATTAAGGGCTTATTTACAGATGCCAGAAAGACAGGAGGTGGCAAAGCCTTGTATTAACTGAAAGCATAGTCATTTCCCTTTTTCTTGAACTAAGGCGTATAATGAACCAGTTTAGGAGCCCAAAAATTGATCAGTCTTTTTTTTTTCTAAGTACTTTCACCTCTCCCTTCAGAGAAATCCATAATCCTTTAGATTTAAGAACCCATTTCACAAGTTTACATCACCAGTAAAAAAATATTGCATCTGCAAAAATAATTCTTACTCTGTTTTGGAATAACATTAGTTCTTTATTGGACATTGCAAGAGCAAAAAGGGAAACAAAATTTGCACATTTGTAACAACCATGGATAGTGAAAGGGAACCTGTTCATTTCTTGCAAGTTTAAGAGACCCAGAAGGTGCTTGAACAGAGTGCAAAATCCATAACAAATACACAAAACGACTGACTTCGGAGAAAGACTGCCATTTTGTAGCAAAATTTGCAAGTTCTTGGCAAAACTGGACCCCGATTAGGGTCAGGAGAAAGAACAAACAAGGACCCCAGCTTGGAACAGTGTATACTAAAACAGCAAACACTGTATTTTATAGAGCTGTTTTGGATGTCACAATCCCTATTAACTGCCCACTTCATTGTTTTGAATTTTGGGCTGGAGAATGTTATTAGATACAAAACTGAATTAAAAACCTGCTAGAAGAAACAATCACCCAGAAAGGAGCAGGAGACAGAATAGCCAATGGGCAGCTATTTTAACACCAGAATATTAGGAGGAAGATGACCAACAGAGCTACGCAACCGCCTTATACATGTCTGACAAGTTTCACCTAAAAAAAGAATGCAAGGCTAAGGCTGAGCTTAATTCAAAGGAAGGACCACAGTATTGAATCAATTGGCACCGGTGCCAGATTTTGAAAGGCCAATATCTATCACAGTCAAGTCTGGAGTTGATTCTTTGGCCAGAGCACGGCTTCTCTGGCAAGATAAAAAAAAAACCTCTTGGGTTCAAGCAGTTTCTGTACGTTGTTTTCCTGCCCTGGAGTAGTTGTCATCTAAGGGAAAGATCCTATCCCGTGATCTGTAAAGTGCATGCATTTTATTTTAATCACGAGCACATCCGACTTGTCACCCACTCAGAGTCCGACTTTCGTCCCCGGAAACGCACGGGGCAATGCTCTTGAAGACAAGACATTCAACTTCTCTACATCTTTAGTTGCTAGTTTTGAAATAGGTTACATTCTGTGAAAAATCAAGCTTGGAGCAAACTTATTGAACTGAAGGGAACTTGGAGCATCCCAAATATTGCAAGGTGGGTAAATCTGGAAGAAGCCTGGTGATCCAATACAATTAGGTTTGAAAACGTAGCACAGTGGAAAAATGAGTTGAACGTGTTCTCTTGCTCGAACAAGAACACTGCCTTTATCCTGTTTTTAAAAGCACACGAGAGTGGGAGCTAAATCAAAAGGCACTATCAAAAACCGAAATCATTGCAAGACAATCCAAGTCTATTCCGTCTGCAAACTTTGCATGCTGTCAAACTACTTTTTTCCTCCCTAAGTCAGTCTTCCCCATCTGCCTGTCACCTCGCATGTTTTAGACTACCATTTCCATCCACTTAAGCCTTTTCACCGAAGGAATCGTAGTCTTTCAATCCAGCTCCTCTTGGCTACAAGCTATATGGATGACGACGTGATATAAGTAAAGAACTTGATGACAGAAGTGAATGGATTACAGCTGACCTGGCCATTGTGACTTCTCAAAAAGCACACACTTTTTATAATCTCTGAGCATTTCGGGGAACTTGCAGTCAATGGCTAATAATCAAGTCCATACCCCTTTGGCAAAATCTTGGCTAAATTCCTACTTGTAAAAGATTAATCTTGACTGGCTCTGCGAGGAGATATTCTACACAGAGCACCAATAAACGAGATGCAGAAATTACCACGTGTGGAAGGAGAGTTACGAGACAGCAAAGCAGACAAGCCACCCGCAACTATTTTACTGTTGAACAAAATAATACAACATATCCTTTTCTGTGCTTATTAAAATCATCTGCACTTGGTGATACAGATTTTGATAATTCAGAAGTGAGTTAACCATAGTGCTTTAATGAAAGGTAAAATGCATATTGCACTGCATAATTTTAGCAGTAACTTTCACTGTTTGCCAATTCACAATTTAGTTGTCATGACCAGTGTTCAAAAGTCCTTTTAATATATTTTAATAGATTCATGTATGAGCGTGCATGTGTGTGTGGATACACATGCACGCACACACATACTATAAAGCCTGGAAGATCAATATAAATACTGCTCCAGAAATTTTTAAAAAAGTGTTTATATCCAGCTCCAATATTACAACTCAGTGTCCTATTTTTAGAATCGTCTATAAAAAACTTTTAACGGTGGAGAGGTTCAAGTTTTTGCAACTTCAGTGATGTGCTGGATGACAAAGCATCCTGGCTGGAGGAAGAATGGACAGTGTCTGGGGACTGGAATAACACTCTACCCCGGTGATTAAATACATAAAAGGATGGATGGTTCCTTAATGTGTCAAATGTCCTAAAACAAAAGGAAAACGGGAGAGAATGGAATTAACATTGAATCAGAACAGTTACTGTAGTCGGCAAGCAGACAATAATTTCAGAGAGAATTTTAGACACTGGTATTTTAGACAATGAATTTTAGGCATTGGTATTAACAAATATCATGGTCACACGTAATTTAAATCTTACCTGTTTCTTCCCCTGCAAGGGAGTAGTGGCAGCAAGATAAAACATTACTGCCATATCCCAAGCAGCAGAGAAAAAAAATTCAGAACCACTGCTAAGCAACATTTGGACCAAGAACACGCGTGCCTACAGAGATGGTGGATTCTCTACCTATGGGAGGTTCTAAGGCTGGAGAACCATCTCTCAAGGACGGTTTAATTAGTTTGCTTGCATACTGCAGAGGGCTGGACCTTATGATCCCTTCCCACTGTACAATCCTACAACTGATTTTCCCCATGCCCTTTGTCAGCCTTGACAAGTTCTGACACTTACACAACCATTGCAGAATTGGCCTTGCTTCAAGATCTGTGCAAACTCAACTCGTTAGCTTAGGCTTGCTATTAATCGCGATACAGTATGTTATTTCCCCAAACTTCTGCTGGCTGTTATTTCATTCCTAAGGCCATCAGCCTCAAGCCCTCCCTAAAAGGGCCGAGGAGGGCAGTGCACACTTGGCAAATGAGCTTTTTTTGCTTCACGCATTCTGAGAAGCTAACCTGTAAATGAAGCCAAGCCAGACGGATGGGTTAGTGGAAAAGGGGAGAAAAACAACAGCACGAGACTCACTCCAAAATGTCCTAAATTCTTGTTCTCAGAAGAACAAGAATAATAAGTAATAGCAGCAGCCCTACATTCAAGGAAAGCTTTCTGGTTTAAAGTTTCATATCATTCAGTCAAAATGTCACCATTTTTCATGAAAAGTGACCTGTGCACTGCTTCTTCACTACCATCACCCCTTTTGCCACTGACTAAACAACCTTTGAGAGAGCTCATTCTTGTTAATAGTCTTTTCCTCACAGGTTCAACATGCGCTTCTCGCATGTGCCTACAATATAGCTCCCATAACCAATTCCCCTGGCAGAACTATTCTGAGGGGGGGGGGAAGCACCAAGAGGAGGCCCCATATGATCCTCTCTCAGAGGAAGACACTGAGCAGAGTCTTTTATCTCCCCTGGCATTATTTGTTGGCATCTAGGCCAACAACACTTTGTTTTCCCGTTCGAGCAGAAGAGTAAGAGTCCCCTCCTACTTAGCCTGAAATAGCAAGAAAACATCCAGGAGACAAGCAATTATAATAAGTAGCAATCGAGGAGGAAAGAGAAAGGAACATACTTATTTTTTAGCTCTGAAGTAGCGTCCATATCTTTAAATTCTCCTGCAATATGAACAATCCCGTAACAGGTAACTGCAAAGGCCAGCAGAGTTTGAAGAACAATCTATAAACAGATGAAAAATGACAGCTGAGTGTTTTCAGAAAGCCACTCCACCATAATTTGGTTCCTTGTTGAGGCTTCTGTATTCAAGGTAGTTCTCCTTTTTGAGCTCAGAAGTACCAGGGTTAGAAAAGGGGTAACACGGTGGACCAAAATCTGGTTTGAGACACGGAATGCCTTATTATGCCTTAATGTGAGAAAAAGTAAATGAACAATCTTTACTGCAATTAAAACTATTACATAGGTTTCTATAGCAAAGACATTGGACTGTTTGCAATCTGGCTTTGTGAGCACTCCTGACCAGTTCAAAGTCAATAAAAAAAATCAAAAACACTGAGAAAAAAGAGAGGAGAAAGAATGCAATGAGGGCAGGATCAGTGAGTGGAAGATATGTTAGCCAAATGCCAGAAGGATTAGGTGGTTTACTCTGCAGAACCCCGGGAGTTGAACCAGAGCAAAAGTGGGGACAAGAAGGAATTCCTAGAGGGATGCTTTTAAGGGAGGGGAAAGTGCCAAATGTGGAGGGTTTCATTCCTGCCACAGGCTACAACTGGCAAAGCCCATCAAGCGTGCCAAGAAAATGAAGAGCCGGCAGCAGTTGAAATCCAGCCAGGCCTTGAGCTCTGTTTGCTTCCTCCTTTATCATTAAGCTACTCTTGAGGTCCAAGCTGCGATTCTGGGGTCTGCACTCCATGCAGAAAGCAGGGAACCACTTACATCTATAGGCAACGTCTCGTCTTCCTTCTCTGTTAATCGCATATAGGAACGATCTGTTGAAATAGAAGAGGCAAAGTTTGCATCTTCGTATCCCTCCCCCAACTGGGCCAAAATGGGACGGGGGGGGGAAGAGCAGGATGGGAAATGCAGGAGGAGCACGTTTTCCGTCTTAAAAATATAACGGGGGGGGAGGAGAGGAGGAGGCAGGGTATGCCCCTTCTCTTTACAAATTCCCCCGCAGAGACCCCCCCAATTCTCTATTGCATATTGCCCCCCCTCGCATCTGCCCCCCCATCTGTCTTCCTGGCCTTAAGGGGGGGCAGCCCTTCCTTTCCTTCCCTCCCCCCACCTCCCTCTTCCCGGGAGTCAGCAGATCCCGAGCTCGCCCCCTCCCCCCCGTTTGCGAGGGACCCCACCCCGAGGACCCCGCTCCCGGGACTACAACTCCCATCAGCGTCCCGGCCGCCTCCGCCACCGCCTGGGCGCCCTTCACATTCCCGGGACTACAACTCCCATCACCCCAGGCACCTCAGCTGCCCGCCCGCCGCGGCTACCCGCGGGCCCAGCTCCTCCCTCAGGCCCAACCGCCCCGGGGCCCCGTCCCGCTTCCCTTCTCCGGCCCGGGGGCTCTCCGCGGGCGGAGGGGACAGTCGGGCAAGCGGCCCCGCGCGCGTCACTCACGCTGCGCGGCGGAGAAGGCCGCGTGCGCCAGGGCGAAGAGCCCGACCCCGACCAGCCCTTTCCAGAGAGAGGCGGCCGCCATCGTCCGCCCTCCTCCTCCTCCCTCTCCCTCAGCCGCCGCGGGCGCTGCGCATGCGCGCCAAGGGAGAGCGCGAGAGAGGGAGCACGAGGGGAGGAGCCGCCGCCACCGCGTCGCTCGGCGCGCCGCGATGACATCAGGAGCGCGGCGGGCGGGCGCTGGGCAGGGGCTGTTGATGGGCGTCTGATCTGCTGAGCCGGGTGGGGGGCGCGCGAGGAGGCGGCGGCAGCTATGGCGGCGCTGCTGCTGCTGGCGCTGGGCCTGGAGCCGGGCCCCGGCGGGGCGGGCAGGCGGCGTCCGGGCGCGCTGGAGGAAGAGCTGGTGGCCGAGAAGGCGGCGGAGGCCAGCCACCGCCAGGACAGCGCCAACCTGCTGGTCTTCATCCTGCTGCTGACCCTCACCATCCTCACCATCTGGCTCTTTAAGCACCGCCGCGCCCGCTTCCTGCACGAGACCGGGCTGGCCATGATCTACGGTGAGCAGCAGCAACAGAGCCCATCATCCCCTGCCGCCGGCCCCGGGGACCCTTCGCCTGCCACTAAATACGCCAACAAATTACATTTGGGAGTCTATTGTGTGTGAACTAGACCATTGTGTTATTGATTAGCAATTAGCTATTTGAATCTAAGAGTCTAGTTTATCCTGGCCAAAAAGGTGTTGTTTTTTTCTTCAGCATGGCAGATCCCTGAAATACAGGTGCACATTTTGGATTTTTCGCTGCCACGTGTCTTGGCAAATTTTTGAAATTGCTCAAGAGATCCACTCATTTTCTCTTAACTGAAGCTGATCTTAGGAACAATGTTGGGAAACTACGGAGCATAAAAGCTTCAGTGAAACTGCCAATTGCTCAACAGACATAAAGGAAAAGTTTCAAGTTTAAATTTATCTGCTGCTCTTCTCAAACTGACTGAAGAGAATGTGATTATTTTAAGTTGCCTTAGAGTTGTAGTAATATATATTTTTCAATGAACGGGAGTTGGATTGGATGATCTTTCGGGATCCTTCATATCTGTATGGTCTGATTTATGCAGCACAATTCACTTTTCTCCTGTTCCTACTCTCAGCGCTGCCATTCTGTTCCAGTGGTTCTGCACGAAAGCATCTAGGAAACACTCAGGGCACAAGTCATGCTGGTGTGTTCAGCACAAACTCTGTAATTCTGAAATATTTTGATGAGGCTTTGCATGATTTGGGGTACTGAATTTATTCCATTTAGGCACTACTTGACTCTGAAACATCTTCTGTTTCAATTTTGCTAGAGGAGTTCTTCTGACAGTTGGTGAAAGAGGGTGCTGAGAATTTATAGATCTGAACTCTGAGCCTCTCAGGGTTGCTCTAGGTCTCTAGCAAACCTGAAGTCCTCTGTGTTTCTTACAGGAGTTCTGGTGGGGGTCATTCTTCGCTACGGTATCCACATTCCTGGCGATATCAACAATGTGACTTTAAGCTGCCCAATGCAAACAAGCCCTGCTACTTTGCTGGTCAACCTAAGTGGGAAGTTTTATGAGTACACCCTGAAGGGGGAGATCAGTTCCCATGAACTCAATAGTGTTCAAGATAATGAGATGCTGCGGAAGGTAAGCTTTGATGCTTTCCACTTCAAAGATTCTAGGAAAATATGATCAAAATTCACAGTACTGCCTTAGCTTTGCCCCAGGTTTCTAGAGGAATCTGGAAAAGAAAAAGAAAACAAACTGTAGAGTTTTTGAAGGCATCTCTCCTGGTTCTTCTCTGGGCTGATTGCTGTTCCTCAAAGTTCTCAGCTTTGCATGCTCAAGAAATCCCTTAATGGCTAGCTTCACGCCTTGCTTTAAGTCTAAATGTGAATTGCTGGGCACAACTTGTCAGTTTGGGTGGGTCTTGCCTTTGGAAGAGGCAAATTGTTGTGTACAGTCAGCCATTTATAATTGTTCAAAAGTATGGCGAGGCACACTCACTCTAGTCCTGTCCTTCCATGGCCAAATAAAAGGAGCTTCCTTCCCATATTCATCAGATCTCTTCAGGGCAGACATATTACATTACTCTGCTGTGTTGTACATCCCAGACCCGCACTGCAGTGACTGCCAACACAGTGCTGTGCTGTTTTGATTCTGGAAGTTTCTTGGGTGTGAAATCAACTAATGCCTCCCAATTGTGAAGTTGAAAACTTCGGACTGCAGAACTGTTGTACTAAAACTGTGGTACAGTTCATTTTTTAACAAAAATGCGCTTCACCAAATGGTAAGTTTTACTCTGCACCCATTGAAGTTGGATCTTTTGTGATGTTTTCATTCTTTCTCTCTTTTCATATCCTACAGGTAACTTTTGATCCTGAAGTGTTCTTTAATATCTTGCTCCCTCCAATTATATTTTATGCTGGATATAGCTTAAAACGGGTAGGTGTCTGTTCCTTCTAATCATCTTTAAAATATCTGGGGCAGCAGCATATGTTGAGAAGAACATAAAGCAGACATTGCCCACCTGCTGCTCTGTTGTTGTCATTGATTACAACTTCAATCTGTTTTGGATGAACTCAGCTGAAATTTCTGTTGGATTTGATGCCTTAAGATTCTACTATGCCACAGCTTGAAACAGGGGAAACAATCTCTTCCATCCACTACCGCCATAATGTAATCCAATGCACATATACAAAATAAAATAAATCCATTAAGCAAAGTCTATCCCTTGCAATCCAAACCTTTAATTGCCCTCTCCTATAACCAGAACAGAACTTTTGCCTCAAAGATAAATTTGGATAATAAAGAAATAGTATGTTGTGAAATGTTTTTTTCAGAGGAAATGTGCCTCTGATCTTTCCAAAATCAGTAATTTGTAACCAGACACCAAGTGCCTACAGGCAGCGCTGTCTGTCCTAATGTGGATTTTTTCCATGTTAGGGGGAAAAATGAGTAATTGTGATGCTTGTAAAACATCTTAGTTGGAAAGGCATTTTAAGTGCTAGAGAGATAAGCTTATTGTCTTGTTATTTGCTCTTTGCCTGAAATAATTGTGTGTTTAGGGAGGGTTTGGTGGGACTTTGACAAAAATTGCCAGGTCATTCTAGCTCAGCCATTCCTAGCATTTAAAGTAACCAAAGTCTCTCTCTCTCTCTTTTCTTTTCAAGCGTCACTTCTTCCGAAACCTTGGATCCATTTTAGCATATGCATTTCTTGGAACAGCAATTTCCTGTTTTGTGATAGGGTGAGAATTCCTGCCCCTCCCTCCTGTATCCCTTCTGCTTCTAAAAATATTCGTTGTTTACATCCTTTGCATATTATCTAATAAACAGTGCTCTGTGAGCAGCTGCAATGCCAGAGGTTAAAACCATGACAGCAATAAGGCATTAAAGCAGCAATTAAAATAGGCACAGCATAAATCGCAACAAAATGGACAAGAGCAAGGCAAGGCCTGCTGCATTTTTAAAAATGAGAAGCTAACAATTCCAGGCTGGTTTGGATATGTTGATAAACAAGCCCAATTCCCCGCTCTTGTCTATTGTGCCCAGGCCATTGTAGATTGCGTACAATTTAAAACATTAATGAACTATGATTGATTAATCTTAATCGTGATGGTTCAAACCAATCACCGTTGTAAACCACTTTGAAGTGGCTCCATCTAGGTTTTTAAGCAGAGATTCGGCAGCCATTTGTCTGAAATGGTATAGGGTCTCCTGCTTGAGCAGGGGGTTGGACTAGAAGACCTCCAAGTTCCCTTCTTCCAACTCTGCATGTATATTGAAGATTAAAGCGTGCCTGGATTTAGATGCCGTGATATGATAGCTGAAGAAAATGTGGGAGTTAACCCCTCCCAGCTGCATCTGGGGGTGGAGAGAACACCTGAGCCCAATAGAAGGCTGTGTTTATTAGGACTGGACCCATATGTGCTTCCCAGAAACTCACGGGCTGCCAAGGGTGGATGCAGGAAAGTGACTTGCACAAGGCTGCCCGAGTCTCTTAAATAAATGAATACAGCTTGCCATGGTGACAATGATGCCAACTTGCCAACTTCCTGTGTTCAATAGATCCATCATGTACGGCTGTGTTGCGCTGATGAAAGTGATGGGGCAGCTTGGAGGAGAGTTCTATTTTACCGACTGCCTGTTTTTTGGGGCCATTGCCTCCGCTACAGATCCTGGTAGGTTGTGGGTGGGAACCAGGGACCCTCCTCAAAAATGCCCTTGGCAACTAAGTTTGATTTTTCTTGCTTTGGCTTCTTTGTGCCCTGCAGAATATAGCAAGATCCACCTTGCTGGATCAGATCAGGTGCATAGCTGGATGCCCACCAAAAGCCCACGAGCAGATCAAAAGGATGTTAGTAATCTTGGAGTCCAAGCAGATTCCGCCTTATTTCACAAGAAAAAGGGGAGAACGTTGGGAGAGAATTGTATGCCTGTATCTCTGAGCTTCTTGAAAGGATATTGATCTAGCAGGGATCTCCCGTCCCATCTAGAATGAGACAGTAATGGCCTTTTATGTCTTAAAGGAATCTCGTTAAGATTCCTGAGTAAGTTTGAACTCCTCAAGCTATAATAAGGAACAGCCTTCTTTCAACTCTTCAATTTATGCCATGAACTCTGTGTCAAAAGACTTTTATGGAGGAATCCATGCAAAGTATCCTATGAATGATCTGGGGTGGACTGTCCTATAAGCATTTGTGGGCCTTTCTAGATGGGTGTTTGCATCTCTGCCATATGTTGAAGATTGAGATGTTGCCGGGTAATAATACAGTAGGCCAGCTTGGGATTCTAGCAAATTCTTTGCCCTTTTTTTCTTGGCTAGTGACGGTCCTCGCCATATTCCATGAACTTCAAGTGGATGTAGAGCTCTATGCCCTTCTTTTTGGAGAGAGTGTCCTCAACGATGCGGTGGCCATTGTGCTGTGTTCGTAAGTTGTGTGTGTCTTTCATCCACCACCCTCCCTGGCAGAGGCAGCTCAAGTTAGGGAGCGTCTGCAAAGCGGTCGTTCCTTGTAGAAAGTGATCCCTGGAGCGTCTAGAACTAACAAAACGACGGAGGGCAATTGATGTAAGTCCCTATTTGGCCATGGAGCCATCGTTATGAGTTACCGAAGAACCATTGATAACCTCAGCTGAACTTGAGGAGAAGCGTGACTAAGTCCATCTTTTGTCATGAGGAGGACTGAATGTTAGAATGGGAGCATGTTGTGGTTTCAGCTCTGCCCAGTGTAATTGTCCTCCATCTTCTGATGGTGGTGGCGCAGTGCTTGGAATGCAATATTGCAGGCTAATTCTGCCCACTGCCAGCAGTTCAATTCTCACCAGCTCAAGGTTGACTCAACCTTCCGTCCTTCCGAGGTCGGTAAAATGAGGACCCAGTTTCTTGGGGGCCATAGGCTGACTTTGCTTAGAGAGGGCTTTAAAGCAATATGAAGCAGTATACAAGTCTAAGCGTTATTGCTATTAGGTAGAACATTTCTCCCAGGTAGGAAGAAGAAGAAGGTTTGACTCCTCCAATCTGTGGAAGACCTAGCAAAGCACTAAGGAATCTGCCTTCTGTGTTTCCCACAGTTCAATCATTGCCTACCAGCCTGAAGGATACAACACCCACACTTTTGATGTTACAGCCATGTTCAAATCCATCGGGATTTTCCTTGGGATTTTCAGCGGATCATTTGCCATGGGGGCCGCTACGGGTGTCGTGACTGCTCTGATATCCTTGCTTTGTCCGTTGACACTTTTTTGTCTCTGAGCGAGAAGTTTGCCAGTATAAAAATCTGCAGAGTAAGGAGGGGTCTTCCGGTTTGTTCCTCATGAAATAATTCAAAATTCTGGACTAGTTTGTCAGTAAATAACTCAATTTTTATTTATTTGTTTGTTACTTATTAATATGCTGCCTTTCCTCAGAACAGACTTAAAGCTCTAACCATTTATCATAAACTGGACTGGCCACAAACATCCAAACTGTAGAAACCTTATTTTTTTTTACTCATATCCATTTCAGACGGTCAGAAGCACCGTATCAAAATGTATTTGCTTACTGGGTTTATAAGGCTTTCTTCATTGTCAAATGATTTAATTGAGGACTAATTAAGTCAAAGAGTGCCAAACTACTTTGAATGCAAAGGGCGGAAACATTTCAAGAACAGACCACAGGGATCAACAAGACGTACTCTTCTCCCCTAGATTGCAAGCTTATAGCATCAAAGCCAAAAAGCCCATATTTGACAAGCCATAGATTTTCTGATGCATTTACGGGGTGGCTTGACCCCTGAGTTTGCTTGGTTCATATCTTTCCCTTATTAGGGGACACGCTAACAGTCTCTATGAGAAATTGCTGTCATTTTGTTGGGGTATTTTTTTTAAAATCTGCAGAAACCTCTGTGGATTTCTCCCTTAACTGCTTCCAGCTTCACGTCACCAAGTTTACCAAACTTCATGAGTTCCACCTGTTGGAAACAGGCTTGTTTTTCCTGATGTCCTGGAGTACCTTCCTGTTGGCTGAAGCATGTGGTTTTACCGGTAAGGGGTGATGTGCTTCTTCCTTGTACCGCCTGAGTGGAGCTATGCCAGGGCATTTCCCAGAGTGCCGTGAGGTTTAAATCCTTGCCAAGGTGGCAGTGAGCCCACTTCTCTAATGCTGAAAAGACCAGTTCCACACCCAGAAAGTTTTCCCCCTCCCCAAATCCCCAGGGACAGTTCAGCTAGGGGAGCCGAGGATCTGGGATCCGACTGTAGCTTGTGCTCTTCAGCCACTCCACTTTTCTCTTGAGACTTCTCCAGGGCGGGCAGGGTGCTTTCTGGCTGGAGAGTGGGGTGTCATGGGAGGAGCTGTTTATGCAACATGGAGCAGTGTCCTTATCAACCTGTTGGGCTGATTGCTTTCATCTGTAGGAAGAAGTATTCTGCGTAACTAACAAGCAGGTGGGTGTCTGTGGCTGGACCCACGCAACCTGCCAACTTTTTCTTGTTTGTTCAGATCAGAGTGGAAACTAACTTCAAGCCCTAAAATTTGGTTTATTGCAGGTTCAGCACTTCCCTATCAGGCTAAACCGTAATAAAAGGGTTCTGTGTTGAAGAAAGACTGGAGACGGGCTGCAGGTGCTGCAGGCTACCTTATTTATACAGTATTTTGTCCCCAGGTGTGGTGGCGGTTTTGTTCTGTGGCATCACTCAAGCTCACTATACTTATAACAACTTGTCCACAGAGTCACAGCAGAGGACAAAACAGGTGAGGCCGTGGACCAGAATGGCCAGGGAGGGACACCCTCCTCAATACAGTACAGGGCAATAATTTTTTTAAAGTTGCCCACTGTCCCCCCCCCTTATAAATCTAATAAATGTAACGCTGGCTTGCATATTTTGTGCTGCGCATGCTTTGAGGAATTCCCTATCATTTAAATAAATGGGCCATGCTACCGTTGCTCTCTTCTCCTGTCCAATATTTTAGTTGTTTGAGCTTCTCAACTTCTTGGCGGAAAACTTCATCTTTTCCTACATGGGGCTGACGCTGTTCACGTTCCAGAACCACGTCTTTAATCCAACCTTTGTGGTTGGGGCTTTTGTATCCTTTTTTCTTAAAAAAAAAGAGGGGGGAACCTACATCATCAGTGCTAGAAGGGACTGCATGTATATAGAGAGCAAACCCAACTCCCTTCTAGCACTGATGATGTTACCTAGTTGGGTTATGAAACATCTGCAAGACAACCACCCAGCCCCAAAGCTCAGCCCTGAGCTAACAATTATTCTCTTCTATCAGAAAATAATTTCCTTAATGCAGCCCCGCATCCAGCTCGCGGTATTCCTGGGAAGAGCGGCAAACATCTATCCCCTCTCTTTCCTACTTAACCTGGGGAGGCGAAACAAGATTGGGACAAACTTTCAGCATATGATGATGTTTGCTGGTGAGTGTCCCTTGAGCTCCTTTTGAACCTGGTTGCCATAAATAATTGCCCGCTTGACTTGAAAGAAGGAAAGGCAGCTACAGTGTTACAGAGACGAAGAATGGGACCCTTCCAGTTTTTAAGATGTTATTGGGGTGAAGGGGGAGGGCATGGAAATATTTCTTATCAGGCTAAAAAAAATGCCTTCAGAAAACAAACCAATGAGGTTATGGAGCCTGAGGAGACGTGGTGGCTACTTGAAAGACAAGGAAATTACTTGCAGAAAGCTTCAATCCCACATAAAGGCTTAGCTATAGCCAATAAGCATAGAACAGGCTATGAGTGTATTTTACGACCTCTTAACTGCCTTGCTTATTAATGCTTCACCTGGCACTCGTGCAAAGGCCAGTATCAGGTTGTAGGCCGGGCTTTGGGGGACCCTTGGACTAGAAAGCCAGCCAGGTTTTAGGAAACTTCATGCCCCTTTCTCTCTCTTAGGCCTGCGGGGAGCCATGGCGTTTGCCTTGGCCATCCGGGACACAGCCACCTATGCGCGGCAGGTGATGTTCAGTACGACTCTACTGATTGTCTTTTTCACCGTCTGGGTGTTTGGTGGTGGCACCACCGCGATGCTTTCGTGCCTGCACATTCGGTGAGTAGACCCTCCCCCCTTCTTCCTCAGCTGCAAGCAGAATTGCTCAGTTTGGGGGGGGGGAGAGATCCTGTGCGTGATGAGTTTTAAAAGAGCCGCACTTGGCCTCAAAGCCACTTTCTGGATAATTGCAATGGGCACCTTTGAGCACATCGGTTTGTGTCTTTTCGGGATAAGGGCGGTGCTGGTTTCAACTGACTGAATTGGAAGTGTGTTTTTTGGTCCAGTGTGAATTTGGGTGAGATGTCCTTTTGGAAAGAAAAAACCAATTGCTAACTGAGTGGAGCCACATCCAGTTGTGAAAAGGATCCTCTTTGCCACTGGGTGTCAGCTTGGCTCTGGATGAGGAGCATGAGGATAGCAGCCAGGCAGGAATCAACCGCACCAGCCTCCCAAGACTCATATTCATCCACTTGTGCTTCACAATCTCTCTTCAGATTGAGAAGAGGTAGATTGATGACGTTCCGTCAAGTCAGGGTCGATTCTTAGCAACCACCTAGATTTTCCTCAAGTTGACTTGTCCACAGTCTGGTCCGTTAGGTCCTCTAACGGTGCCCCCTCTAACTGGGTCCTCCACTTTCTCCGCTTTCCTTCCACCTTTTCCAACATCTGAGAAATGCACATTTTTGGCATTTTAACCCGCCTGTTACTTTACCATGAAGGGCGAATTATCGTACGTAGAGGAGCACATCTCAAGCCTTTGGAGTGAGGGTTGTGTGCCGGCTGGATGGCCAGAGAGCTCTGGGCAATCCGCAGTCTGAATGGGGAGAGTAATAGTCCTTGTGTGTTCTTTTCTGCAGGGTTGGTGTAGATGCCGACCAAGACAATGTGGTAAGTTCTCCTCTCTCCCATCATCGCTCCCATACTCTTGCGGCTGTTAAGCCAGAATTTCCAAGGCCTCAGTGATTAGGGTCACTCTTGAGTCATTGTTCGCCTTCTGGCTCGCCAGCTGCTTTCAGGATCTCATTTCTGACCAGCCTGGGCAGGCCTCCCTTGGGTCCTGATGCCAGGGTTTGGCCAGAACTTTATGGAAGTGCTACAGATCTTTAAAATCCTCCCAATTTTTGATTAACGCAGTCCAGATTTTTGATTAACGCAGTCCAGATTACAAACATCAAATAATACACAACACAAAAAATAAAGATTGGTGGTGGCTCTCCTCCTCCACACCCCACTACGATCCGGTTGTGTTTCTTCTTTTCCAGGTCGAGGTAGAAAACGGGCGAAGCACCAGGGCTGAGAGCGCCTGGCTGTTCCGAGTCTGGTACAACTTCGACCATAAGTATCCTTCCCAGAGACCCGGGGGTGGTCTGGACCCCAGGCCCTGCATCTGCAAAGAGCAACTGCTGCCTGGGGAGAGGGCCAAAGCGCCTTTCCTTCCTCAGCTGTGCATTCTTGTCTCTCGTGTGGCCATTTATCTGGGCTCAGCCCCAAGAAATGCAGAACTATATATCTGTCGTATGTCCCATGCCAGGAGGGGCAGAAGATTATTTTAGTTTACTGCCATTCTCTGTATGTGCCCCCTCTCCAGGTTTTGTCACCAGGCCAGGTCTCCGCTGTGTCTAGAAGTGACCGAAGCCGTGCCACTAGCAACAAACCTTTGAGAAACCTGAAACCAAAACTTATACCAAGAGAAGTATAATTTCAGGGCCAAAGAATTATCCTCCGACTCCTGAAAACGGCTTTTTTCTTAGAATGAAGGTGGGCCAGACCTGCTTCTCGCTCTGTGAGGTACAGCAGAAGAGAACGAACAGTTGGCCAAAACTGTAGTAGTAGTTGTAATGACTTAATGTAGGAAAACGGGAGGAAATCTGCAACCACACGTAGAGGAATCCTGTGTCATAATGGTTCTCAACCTGTGGTCCAGCCACCCCTGGGGGGGGGGCACAATGTCATCATAGCGGGTCCATGAAGGCTTGAAGAAATGTTATGATTTAAATCTTGAGTTAGGTCCTGGGGGTCCACAGCCACAAAAGTTAGGTCTTGGGGGGTCCGTGGTGAAGAAAGGATTGAGAACCACTGCCGTACGGGAAAGTGATCGCTGCTCAGCTGCTCAGCCCTTATAGCAGCAACTGTGGCAGCTTTACGGCCTGTTGGACCTCAACTCCCAGAATTCCTGAGCCAGCACGGATGTAGTGTTTGTTGCAGCAAGGAAGATGCTGGCAAAAACTTTAGGAAATCCTTTTGCAGTTTGTAGTAGAGTTTGTTACTTCTGTTGCGTTAGGTACTTTTCATAGCAGAGTTAGAGCTAGAAAAACCATGTAAGAATGTTGGCTTTGGGTAAAAATGTGCTATTTCTGAAACGAGAGACGCTTCCTTTGCCTTAACCAAAGCCCTTCTCAGCTACTTAAAACCTCTCCTGACGCACAGCGGTCCCCCCCTGACCACCATCCTCCCCAGCTGCTGTGGGCCCATTGCACGGTGTTTGACGAGTCCGCAGGCTTACGAGGTAAGTCCAGGATTTCCCCCCCCCTCCCCAGATAGCATGTGGTCTGCCCAGTGCCTTCATCTCGGCATGCTCACCGTTGCCGAGGTGAGACGGACGAAACCTTTTCTAAAACAGGGCTTGACAATCTGTGCGTGGAGTTGGAGAGCTGGCATCTAGGAAAGGAGGGAAGGGTCTCGGGGGGTGGGCAAGTGGTGAGGACGTGGTTTGGGTTGTCCTTTTTCAAGGAGGCTCTCGCCTCTGTTGGAAGGCGGGGTGGGCTTTTTCCTTCTTGATGGATTAGTCCATTTCCTGCTTCAAAGCACTCGAGGCTCTCCTGGATTCATCCTCCACCATAGTTCTTCTGAATGAGCAGCACCCCAAAAAAGTGGAGTGTTGAATTGAAAGGTAGGCTTTCCATAATTGAAAGGGCCCCCAAACTTTCTCAAAATAAACATCTCCCCCCCCCACAATGCCACCCCATTGGCTGCGACCCCGTTTTGCCAAAAAGTAAGTAGAGAATGTGGTTATAGACACTAAGAAGTTGCCCGGTTCTTTTATTGAAGCCTCTTTGGACGTCTGTTGTTTAATAAAGCCGTGAATTGATCTCTCCTCTTCCCATCCTTCTTCCTCTCCTCCCTTCCCTTCCTCCTTCCCCTCTCCTCTCTCACTCTTCTGTCTCTCCCGCCTCTTCTCTTCTCCCTCTCCTCTCCTCTTTCCTCACTTCTCTGTTCCCTTCCCTTCCTCCTCAGAATCAAGAGCAGCTGAAGGATGATGATTCAGATCTGATTTTGAATGACGGAGACATCAGCTTGACGTACGGGGATTCCAGCGGGAACTCCGATTCGCTGCCATCAGGCGCCTCAAGACGGGTTGCTGGAAATGGTTCCGAGGACATGCTAGACCAGGAGCTGGGCTTTGGAGACCATGAACTTGTCATCCGGGGGACCCGCCTCGTTCTTCCCATGGATGACTCCGAGCCTCCTTCCGGCGTGGTTGACAACGCTCGCCATGGCCCAGCCTAAGATCGGTGTCTTGACACGACGGGTAGCCTAAGAAAGAGCAACAACAACAACAACAAAATCTGCAGATGGTGGTGAAGAAATCCTGACTATCTATGACCCAAAAACCTACTGCATGTCTCAGAACGTCTCAGCTGTATAAATAGGATTTATTTATATGGTGTCAGGAGAAACAACCGCTATCTGTGTAAGGCAGTTCTCCGGGAGCGAGCTGTTGATTTTGTGCGCTTAGAAACGACCGTGTGAAAACGATGGACTTGCACTGAATAGCAGTGGAACTGTTTTAGATGCAATTATGCTCTGATGGCCGCGGGAAAGGAGAGAGCAGCTTTGCAGCCGTCCTTCCGGTTCTGTGGAATTCTGTGTTTTTTTTGTTGGGTTTTGACCATTCAGTGCCCACTTCGCTGATGCCAGGAAAGGAAGGGGGGAGTAAGATTGAACAGTGGAGAGCTAAGACGAGGTAGCCAAGCTGCATTAGGCAGAAGATCTAAAATAGCTTTAGAGGATTGCTTGAAATCTTCGTGCTTTATTTTGAAGAAATCTGGATGTTGGACAGATTTGGAGAGAGTTGCCCAGAGGGCTTCTGGTTTGGCCATCTGGCCGTCCACACGTTGAAGGGAGAATTAGCCAGACAGTGGATGCTGTGGGCATACAAGCTTCTGACTTGGCAAGTTGTGTGTGTTAAGTAGAACGACCTCCTTGATTGTCCCAATAGAGGTGGTCTTCTGAGGTTGGTGACGCTGAAGGTGGATGCTTTATCATTATTTTGGTTTTAATTTTTCTCTTGCCTTATCCCATCGCATTAGGGTGAGGAACTGAATTACGGAGTACTGAAACAGCTACCGGGTTGTTACTTTCACGCAGAGAATTAGCGCACTGCTTCCTGGGCAGGTGGGAGGCACCCAGAAATGGCTGAATTAGTTTTGAGCTTCTAGTTTAGTGGCTGAGCCCTGGGGGGGGTGGGGGGGACAGAATTCTTTTCTAACGGGTGCATATTTGCAAACAAAAACAGCTGGAGCAGTAGCACTGTTCAAAAGATGGAGGTAGAGATTTTACAGGTTTTGGGTTTTTTTTAAGATGTTTTGGAACATCCGTCCATTTGTATAGTTGCACTGTTTGGTATTGGTTGCATGTGTGTGTGTCTATATTTGAAAAAAAAGTTTTCTATCTCATTTACAATTTAGTGAGAAAAATGCCGATGAAGTCCAATTTCTTGGTGTTTTTTTTCTTTGCCTATGAAAGCTCTGAACAACCTGCTGATTTTTATATTCAGTTTATTCAGTTTTTTCCTCTTTCTGTTTCAGTAGCATTGAGAAGTCAAGAATTTTCAGTGCAGCTTTTCCAGGTTTATCTCAATGGCAGATCTGGTACTGTTACAGACTTAAGCTCATTGCTCTCTTAAGCAGAAAACATGTGAAGCCAACTCTTATTTTAGAATTTTCAAATACTTTTTTAATGCCCTGTTTTATTCTAGCTACTAACAATCCCTGTTTTTTTTAATCCTGTTTTAAAAATGGGTTTTGTTTTGATCCTTCTTTTAGATTAGCACGACCTGCAAGCAGAATATAGCTTCCCTTTGGCTATTTGTTCAATCACCAGAGAAATTTCTCATTCTAAAATAAATGTCGTACACCCAGGCTTGCTTTCTTCTAACTAAGGTGGGAAAACATGCTCCAAAATTGTGGAATTTTGTGACCATTTTGCCCTGGAAACAGGCTGGCTAGCTGTAGACATTCAGCACTTCAACATATAAAATATAACTTTACACATGTGGCATTTTTCATTTTCTTTAACAAAAATATTTGGGTTGATATTTTTTCCCCAGAACAGAAAAACGTGAGTTGCTTTACCCTTTTAAACCTTAAGATTGTCTGTGCTGGAATTTAGCCTTTAAGTGATTCTTCTGTTTCAGCAAGGAACTGATTCCATTTCAGCCATGAAAACAGATTATTTTTCGTTTTCCAAAAGTTTTTGGTCTGAACAATTTTGTGGACTCACCCAGGAATGGTGGGATCTGTTTCTTTTCCCTTAGTTGCATTCTGCTTTCATCGTGTCCCACCCATGTTTTTCAAGAGTCATCCCAATTCTGTAGTGACACAGCTTGCTTGAAAAGTGTAAAATTTCACTGCACTGGAAAATACTTTTTTTTTTCTTCTCCTCTCCCAGACTTCCTTTATTTGATAACATTAAGTCTTTTATTTTTGTTATTTCTTTCTGCTATGCAGGAACATCATTAAATATATGTGAATGCATGTTGTGCTTTTATATAATGTCTGTATCTTAATGTCCGATGTTAAAATAATAGTAGTACAATTGCTAATAATAATAATATGAGAAATGTTCATGTGTTAAGATTTTTACATCACTTGCACAGTGATAACTCTTCGGTTTCAAATGTTTCTAAGCAACAGCTAACGATCCTGGGTAGCCTGATCAGTCACAGAGTTTGCAGAAAACGTAGAATTTAGTCAAGGAAACGTATTTGCCTGAAATAGTGGGTCCCTGTTCTGCTCCGTCCTCCCCAATTTGGAAGATTTGCAGACTCCTCCTACCAGTTAAGTTTCTTTTTGTAAATCATGACTAAGACAACTCACGTCCTCCGGATGTTGTGGAACTACAGTTCCCAGCAGCCTCAAATGCTGGTTGGAAGGCCCCATTTTGTCCTGCTTGAGGCCTTCTTTGCTTTTCCACTTGCCCAGATCAAAAATAAAACAGGATCCCTTGCAATTTTGGGTTGTAAGTCTAGATCTGGTGTCTACCAGCATGTAATAAAAGTGGAGCTGACAAGTTTAGGAAGATCCTAGATCCCAAGATGATCAACCTTCTTTGCTGCCTTAACTGGACAAAATAGGGAAATGCCCTCCCCCAACTCTTTGGTTGTGCCTCCCTTATTCTCAAGTGCAGTTGTGCAGTGCCAGCTTGGTCCTATAAAGTTGAGCACCGCAGAGACCTGTTGGTTTTAAAAGGCAAGCGGTGGCTCCTGGTGGTCCATTGGGGAGGACATCCTGTTGCATCTTCTTGAGAAGGTGCCCTCTAAGGGGACCGCCTGAATGCATTGACTGCATCTAATGGCAGCCATACACTTAAGAGTCTAGATTTGTTACAAATTCCTTTAGGGAAAATCCACCTGATCTTCAGACGAACCACCCTTCTAGGACTGAAATTCTGCATCTTTGAGAATTTTTCTTTCTAAATATAATAATAATGATACACTACCTAGTTTTTGTGCAAGTTTGCTGTTAAGACATATTAATAACAGCCACACCACTACAGACCTCTAATGCCTATGATAGTTTTCAACTGCTGATTGAATTAATACTCCCCTGTTGAGATGGATCCCAGGTTTTATGGCCAGTGAGTAATGGAGAATCCTTCAACACTGGAACCAATGGCAGATCCCCACTGCGGTTCCTCCAGAATGACCTGCCAGGAATTGAATATGGCGTTGATAAATGTGCGTTTTTTCTTCGATACTGCAAGAAAGCAATTCCCTTGTGCTTAATTTCTTCAGGCACTCTGGCGCCATGTTCTTAACATGACCTCAAAAACAGCAGTGGGGATTTTTATAAGCTTGTGACTCCAGCTGTGGGTTTAAAATCAGCTGCCCTCGAAATGCGCTGTTTTCTGTAAAGATTCAATTTCTGCATCGGTGACACTGTATGTCAAGTTCTAGTGTTCTCTACTTAGTGTTAAATTGTCTCTTTTTATGATATTAACTGCTATAGTTGTGGCATTCTTGTAATGATATCCTTAAGCATAATAATTGCACTTTTCTTTTTGGTTTATGATAACTCAAGTCTTTTATTGTTACTTGCACTGTGAAAGAAATCATGGGCCTATAAAAAACGTTCCGTTTCTTTGAATTTGATGTGTCTGCGTGGTTTTTCACTCCACACGAAAATGTGTTTTTAAACTTAATTTATTCCTTGATCAGTGGACTTAAAAAAAAAGTCACGTTTTGCAGCTGTAAATCTCACACCATTGAGGCTATCCAATATGGGTTGCCAAATTAAAACTTTCTGTTCCCTGTGGGTTTTGGATGCAAACATTTCCTGTCATGGGGATGACCAGTCCCACAACTCTCAGCTAGAAGCACAGGCTGGGCTGTCCCCTGATGGACAAAAGTCACAAAATTATGACCCAAATTGCAAGAGAACAAAACTTCCCACGTGGATTTCTATATGCTGGAACCTAAGAACGGGGGTTCCTTTTTATTTGGAACAAGACAAACTTTTGAATACTTTATCACGTATTTACACAGGAGTCTCTCTTAGCTGGGATCTTTGTCTCCAGTCGCCTCTTTCTCCCAACAATATCCAACCCAAACCAGCTGCCCTGCCCTGCCCTGCCCAGAGAGGGTCCAAACTCGGGGGTGTGGGGGGAATGGCTTTTGCCAGCTAGAAGTTGCCATATATGGTTGCAGTCTCCCAACGTGGTGTGCTTGTTTGTGTGTGTTTGAGTAAGCCACCCTCATTTCTAAGGTGATGTGTGCTTTGCTGCTTCCCTTTTACATAATCTCTGGAGAATGTGGAAAGCAAAATATAGTTGCTCACCAGGCAAAAATCTTTCTCCCCCACATGCTGGCTTTGCAAACAGCCACAGGTCGATTCCTCCTGAATGCAAAAATTAAAACACGCTGGACTGCTTTCTCTGGCCGTCGTCCCTCCACATGCTTTCCCATGCTTAAGAGCCATGTCCTGCAAAGCCCAACGGACAAGGTTGGCCAGACACTCCTATGCCAGAAGCTAATCTCTCTGGCTACATCCACACACACCGGCTAAGCTGAAGAGTGTTTTGAGTTGTGGGTTTGCTGCGTCCTGTGAACGGAGCTAATAGTGTATCCGGGATTTGCCAGATCTCAGCCATCCTTGGAGCTGTGAAGGCTTGATAGGCCTTCAAGAGTGGCATCTCCTCCAGCTTCCCTCCTCTCCAGCCACCAACTCTGATCTCTCTTTGGGTTCACACAACCATCAGGCCACAAACCAGTTCAATTTTACACATCGTGCAAACAGACAACCGGCTTGGTGAACTCCAGAACTGGGTTGCACTAACCAAGTAAAGACTTAGCAGCAGCAGCAGCTTGAGAAATGCATTCCAAAATAGAGCAAGTTGGCCTTGGTTCCTTTCTGGATGGGAGACCACTGAGAATTTTCACACTTGGTAGAACAAGTGGCTTACCCAAGCAGAGACTTGGATGTCTGCTTTGGAAGCTCTTGCTAGAAAAAAAAAGATGGATGTTTCCTTATTTAGCTCTTGGGAATTGGTTCATTAGGGTCACTTCCTCCTGAGCACGTTCTGCAATAAACAAACAGAAAGCTTCTCACCTCCCTCCTTTCGTTTCAACATTTCCAAATAAAGCTTTTTTCTCGGCTGCAGCTGCTTCATCAGTGACTAATAAAACAGCTTCTTCCAAGTCACCCTGGCTCACGCTCGGCTCTGTGTTTGGACAGCAAGCCAAATCTTCATTTGTCTCCTGCTTCATTATCCTAGCCAGACAGGGGTACGTGCCCGGAAGATCCCAGTGCTTTTCCCAGCCATCTTTGTGCTTAGCACTGAACTGAGCCGTTTCTTTCAAATCTGTAGCTAGGAGTTTTCCTGCATGCATCCATCCACGTCTCTCCTCCCTTGTCATCCTGTCTCTTCTTCTCCCTCCGATCATTCCCCAAACTTGAGACAGAGATTTTCTTCTAGAGGAAAAAAAAGAATCACCCATTACCATTTATGCAGCAAAAGGGCTGTTTCTAAGAGAGGAGGGCCGTTAAGCTCATCGCTTTAGAAATATAGGATTTCTAGTCGAGATCTTTGTAATTTTCCCTTATGTGTTACTGTATGCTGTCTCTGAAAAACCGCTTAGAGAGAGCTGTAAAGCACAGTGAAGCGGTATATAAGTCTAAGCGCTATTGCTATTGCTATACAATGTCCAACAATGTTAGCAAGCAGCCTAAACAGTCAATCCTTTAGAACAGTGTTGCTTAACCTTAGCAATGTTAAGATGTGTGGACCGGTTTCCAGAATTCCCCAGCCAGCATGCAGACCATTCTGGAAAGTGAAAAAACACACGGACCAAATGATCCAGGTTTGGATCAACAACTTTATGAGGAAGTATTAAAGCACTGAGGAAATGTTTTATATGGAAATAGTGAGAAATATGGAAAGACATGATCAAGTTAACAAAGCTCCTGCACGGCAAATAAAAATTAGGGAAAGAAATTTTGTTTCTGGTTTCCAAATCCTGCAACCTTGGCTAACTAACAAGGCTGGATTTGAGGGGGGGGGGCAGGAAGAAAGGAAGGAAACAAGCAAACAAAGAAGGAAGGAAACAAGCAAGCAAACAAACAAAGAAGCAAGCAAACAAAGAAGGAAGGGAGGGAGGGAAGGAGGAAGGAAGGAAGGAAGTAAAGAAGGAAAGAAGGAAGGGTGGGAGGAAGGAAGGAAGCAAACAAGGAAGGAAAGAAACAAAGAAGGAAGATGGGTGAGAGAAAGGAAGGTAGGTAGGAAAGCATGTTTTCCTTATGCTGCACATTTATATAACTGAACCGGGGAACCACCAGACAAAGGGATCCAAACACAGGAACAAGTCAGGGTTCCTTTAATTATGTTTCAATCACAACGGGTCAATCCGTATTCCACTTGCAAACCATTCCACGCTCCGGCTAGTAGTTATGATGCCTCTATTTAGTAATCCTCTTACAGTTAGCTACAGTTTCCTCCCCACCCCACCCCCAAACTCCCAGGGCTTTGAGGAAGACGATTTCCCAGGCTGCCCTTCTGAGTTTGCCAGCGATGCTGCTTCACCCCAATACCAGCCTGCCAGATCTCTGCAGCCTGCTTGGCTGCCCAACCCCCCCCTCCAATTCCATCCCACTGGAAGGCAGCGCAGCCAGGGAGACTGCAGCCAAGGATGCCCGAGGTGCAACCCACACCTGGCCCTCAGTCCCCTGGTCTTCTGAGAAGCTTGCGAGACCCTCGCCCTTCATTCAGGAGAGTCGCCTGGCACTTTTGCAGCCCCCTCCCTTGGCACCAACTTCCCTGAAACACTTTTCTCTTTCTAAGAAACCTCCACTGTTTGTCTTTACGAAACTGAGTGGAAACAAATTTCACCATAACCTTCTGACGAGTGCTAAGTCCTCAGGCGGGTTGAAAAAAAAAAGGAGGGGGAGAGAATTTTGTAACCCAGGGGCAATAAAAGATATGCCCCCTCCTATTTTCCACTGTCACTCATTTTTCTGGCCTTCTCGCCCCCCCCCCCACCTCCATCCCAACCTTCAGCATAAAAATTCCTGGTGGCTGAAGTCACTTCCCTTCAGTGCAATTTTATCTGAACTGTTTATAAGCCGTGGGTCAATTCTTCTGAATTGTGACAATGTGGTGGGGAGCAGGGAGGAACTGAACTGAGGGTTGGCTGGTTCCTGCCAAGCCTTTTATGGCACTAAAGACCAGTTTTTCTGGGTGCCAAGGGCTGGTTTTAAGACTGCTGATTTTACGAGCACATTTTGTCCGTTTTGCACCCAAATCCTACCATTGTCATCTTTCCCTGTTGCAACTTGGAACCTCTTCCAAAAGGTTGGGTAACAGGGACCCTTTTTCTGAGGAGGGGAGAATTGTCCCTTTTCGCTTTCTTTTCAAAATCTGTTTGTCATCCTGTTTCTGGTCATCACAATACAAAAAAGATGTCGAGACTCTGGAAAGAGTGCAGAGAAGAGCAATAAAGATGGTTGGGGATCTGGAAGCTAAAATATATGGTGAATGGTTGTGGGAACTGGGAGGTCCACTCAAAGAAAGATTAAGGGAAATAGGATGGCTGTGTTTAATATTTGAGGGGCTGCCACAAAGCAGAGGGGGGGGGGTCAAGCTATTCTCCAAAGCACCTGAAGGCAGGACAAGAAGTAATAGATGGAAACTAATCAAGGAGAGATCCAACTTAGAATTAAGGAGCAACTTCCTGACAGTTAGAGTAATTAATTAATGGAATGGCTTGCCTTCAGAAATTGTGTGTACTCCATCACTGGAGATGTTAAAGAAGAGATTGGACAGCCATTTGTCTGAAATAGTATAGGGTCTCCTGCTTTAGCAGGGGGGTGGACTAGAGGACCTCCAAGGTCCCTTATTCTGTTTGAAGGGTTTATCTTCCCCCATGCCAAAGACTTGTTCAGACTTGCAGTGAAGCTGACATCAAATTGGAGAAAAGCACATCTGCAACCTCAGTGATGTCCACACTGCTCAGGCAGGAAGCCCTAGACCATGACAGACAAATGGCTCTCCAATCTTTTCTTAACAGCCTCCAGTGTTGGAGCACCCACAACTTCTGGAGGCCAGTAGTTCCACTGGTTAATTGTTCTCACTGTCCTGTCAGGAAATTTCTCCTTAGTTCCAGGTTGTTTCTCTCCTTGATTAGTTTCCATGTGTTGCTTCTTGGCCTGCCTTCAGGTGCTTTGGAGAATAGGTTGAACCCCTCTTCTCCATGACAGCCCCTTGATAGTGGCCAACAATCCTTTTTCAAGTGGACAACGCTGGTGGATAACAGCCCCAAGGACTTGAGCAGTGATCCATGACACCTCTGTCCCAAATCCACAGAGAATAACAGAATAACAGAGCTGGAAGGGACCTTGGAGATCCTCTAGTCCAATCCCCTGTTCAAGCAGAAGACTCTATACCTTTTCAGACAAGTGGCTGTCCAGTCTCTTCTTAAAAACCTCCAGTGTTGGAGCACCCACAACTTCTTGTGGCAAGCTGTTCCACTGGTTAATTGTCTTCACTCTTACAAAATTTCTCCTTTGTTCTAGATTGCTTCTCTCCTTGATTAGTTCCCATCTGTTGCTTCTTTTCTCTGTCTTTTCTTTTTTGCTTCTTTTCCGTGCCCAGC